ACACCGGCAGCAGTGTCAACATCCTATACCTGGAGACTTTCCAAAAACTCAGGTTGTGTCGGACACAACTTGAACCCCTCAAAACTCCTCTCTCAGGTTTCACGGGAGACACAGTGGAAGCTGAGGGGTCCATAGTTCTACCGGTCGAACTAGGATCGGGCGAAAAGACCGTGTGGAAGAAAATGCGGTTCATCGTTGTGGACATCAAATGCGTCCACAACGCCATCCTTGGAAGGCCTGGCATCAACAAGGTTGGGGCGGTGATTTCCATGCCTCACCTATGCATGAGGTTCCACACTCCGGGCGGTGTGGGAGAAGTGAGGGGCGACCAGAGGAATGCCCGGGAGTGCTATGCCCGGGCGATTAAAAAGATGACTAAGGGGGTCAACGTCATCTCCCAAGAAATCACCAAGGGAGAGACCCGGGAGAAATTGGAGCCCGAGGCCGAGACGGTGGAAATCGAACTTCACCCGGGTGATTCTTCAAGGATGGTCAGAATCGGAGCCAACCTCCCAGAAGATCTCAAGGCAGAGATTACACGGGTGCTCCAAGAGTACGCGGGCATATTTGCATGGAGCGTGGCAGATATGCCCGGAATTGACCGCTCAATCATCTGTCACCGGTTAACAGTAAGGGAGGGAAGTCGACCGGTACGCCAGAAGAAAAGGTACCTGGCCAGCGACCGGCGAGACTTCGTCAAGAAGGAGGTGAAGGACCTCCTTAGTGTGGGTCACGTCACATTCGGGAAGTTAAATACCCGGATTGGCTGGCCAACGTTGTCCTTGCTCCCAAAGGCGACACATGGAGAATGTGTGTGGATTATACGGACTTGAACAAGGCTTGTCCGATGGATTCATACCCCCTCCCCAGTCCTGATCAAATGGTGGACGAAACTGCGGGGTGCGAACTCCTGAGTTTCATGGATGCCTTCAAGGGCTACCACCAAATCTACATGGCCAAGGAGGATGAAGAGAAGACGTCATTCCTCACACCCGAAGGAACCTACTGTTACTGGGTAATGGCGTTTGGCTTGAAGAACTCGGGGGCAACCTACCAGCGCATGGTGAACAAGCTCTTCAAGCCACTGCTGGGAAAGACCATGGAGGCATACGTCGACGACATGCTAATCAAAAGCCAGGTATCTCTCAATCACCCGGCTGATATGCGTGCCACATTCGATATCATGGCAAGATACAACCTCCGGTTGAATCCCAAGAAGTGCGTCTTTGCGGTTCGTACCGGGAAGTTCTTGGGGTTCATGGTGACCAAGAGAGGAATAGAGCCCAACCCAGAAAAAATCCGGGCTATCACTGAAATGCAGGCCCCCACATCTGTGAGGGATGTCCAGAAGTTGACCGGTCGTCTAGCGGCACTCAGCCGGTTCCTTTCCCGGTCAGCTGAGAGGTCCCTGCCTTTCTTCAAAGTCCTGAAGAAGGCCAACACTTTTGCATGGGACAAAGAGTGCCAGAGGGCATTCGAGAAGCTGAAAGAATACCTAGTGTCAGATATTGTATTGTCTAAACCCCAGCCGGGTGAAATTCTGTATCTGTACCTGGGAATTTCCCCAAATGCTGTAATCTCTGTTTTAATAAGAGATGATGGGGCACAAAAGCCCATTTATTATGTGAGCAAAGCACTAAATGGAGCAGAAAGTAGATACACGGCGATGGAAAAAACAGCCTACGCGCTTTTCATCTCCGCAAAAAAGTTAACATCCTACTTCCAAGCTCACCCGATAGAAGTCTTGACTGACCAACCGCTGGGTGCAGTCTTGCGAAATTCAACATCCTCCGGGAGGATGGTGAAATGGGCGATGATGTTAACTCAATTCAACATTGAGTACCGGCCAAGGTCAGCAATCAAGGGGCAAGCCCTTGCGGATTTCCTTGTAGAGATGACCGGCATAACTCTAGAAGAACCGGTCAACAAACCCACCGAGCAATGGTGGGAGATGGCGGTAGACGGGGCGTCCGGTCCTAAACGCTACGGGGGTGGTATAGTCTTTACCACCCCGGAAGGATTCAAAATTTACCATGCAATCATCTTCAACTTCAAGCTGACGAACAACGAGGCAGAATACGAAGCTCTGGCTGGAGGGCTCAGACTCGCCCAAGCCCTGAAGATCGACCGGGTCAGTATCAAATCTGATTCCAGTTTGATCGTTGGACAAGTGACCGGTAACATGGAAGCCAGAGAAGGGCGAATGGCGCAATACAAGGACCTGGTGCTTGCCTTGTTGAAAGGCTTTGAGGAATTCAAGATCGCCCAAATCCCCCGGGCGGAAAATGCAGATGCAGACCTTCTCTCCAAATTGACGCAGTATGCTCCCGAGCATGTTTCAAAACTTGCCCGGGTAGAAATTCTTGATCATGCCAGCATTGAAAAATTGGAAGTAGCCGCCATAGCAGGAGCAGGCCAACCTGACCGGTCAAACTTGGTCGGGGCGGATGACCACTGGATGTATGATCTGATGGAATATCTGATGGACGGGACCTTGCCGGAACAAGATGACTGGGCAAGAAAAGTGAAGCTCAGGGCACCCCGGTTCCAAGTCCTTGACGGAAAGCTGTACAAGAGGGCGTTCGGGGGACCCCTCCTAAGGTGCCTAACCAACCGGGAGGCTGAACGGGTCATAGCAGAAGTCCATGAAGGTGTATGCGCGGCGCATCAAATGTCCCGCACTCTTTCCCAGCGCATCATCTTGTTGGGGTATTACTGGCCAACAATTGTCCAGGATTGCGAGAGGTACGTCCAGAAGTGCAGAACGTGCCAAGTGTTCTACAAGTAGCCCGGTAGGCCGGCAACCTACTATCACCCCGTATCAAATGTCATCCCTTTTGCTAGATTCGGGGTGGATATCATTGGAGCGTTTCCAATTGCCCAAGGAAGGAAGAAGTTTGTAATTGTGGCCATCGATTACTTCACCAAGTGGATTGAAGCTGAAGTACTAGCCAATATCACCACGCAACAATGCAAGAAATTCATTTGGAAGAACATCATCACAAGGTTTGGGGCTCCCATGAACCTAATCACCGACAACGGCCCACAATTCCGAAATCCAAGATTCACCGAATACTTGGAGGGCTTTGGAATTAAGCACAACCGTTCTTCGGTGGCCTACCCCCAAGGAAATGGCCAGGTGGAGAATGCCAACCGAACAATTGTGGATGATCTAAAGAAGCGGCTGGGAGAAGCAGGAAACAAGTGGCTGGAAGAGCTCCCCCACATCATATGGGCGTTCCGAGTAACACCCAGGAGGGCTCATGGGGAAACTCCATTCTCCCTAACTTATGGGTGTGAGGCAAGGCTCCCCATCGAAGCTGAATTCCCAACGTTCCGGGAATCAAATTACCAGCCCCAGCAAAAAGAAGAAGACCATTTGGCCGAGCTCAACTTGGTCGAAGAACGAAGAATGGCCGCGGAGGTTAAGATGAGCACATACCAACAAGTTGTGAAAAAGTACCACGACAACAAGGTTGGGCCGCGATACTTCCAAGTTGGAGATGAAGTCCTGCGAAGAAGAGAAGCAAGTAGACCAGGCGATGGGGGAAAGCTGGCCAAAAACTGGGAAGGCCCATACCGGGTGAGAGCCATCGTTCGCCCGGGAACCTACCGGTTGGAAACTCTAGATGGTGTACCGGTAGAAAGAACTTGGAATTCCCACCATCTTCGCAAGTTCTACAAATGATTGTAATACTAGGCGAGGCCTAACTACATTATCAATCAAAACGATGTTCGATACTCTACGTGGCAACAACAAAAATGATAGGTCAAACCTATCCTAGGAGGGCTTCCCGGGTGGATCGAATCCACTTGGATAAGCCAACTGAGACACAGGCCCGGACCTGGCATGCTGGTTACTACACCGGTCTTGCTCAGTATAATAGAAAAAATATTAAACCCGGAAGAGGGGCCCGGAAGAGGGTATGCCTGCAAGAGGGCTGGACCTGGAAGAAGGTTCGAACCGTACTTACACGGGCCCATGAGGTTTGACCGGTATCGGGGAATCAGCCGGTATCGTCAAATTGATTGGGGACTAAAAGATGCCCATTAAAAGAAATAGAAGGGGATCGTCCACCGTGGCGCATCCTGTTTCCCCCTTCTCAGGGAAGACTTGAACGGGGGGTGAGCTAAGGCCTTCCCGGGATGGTAGAAATCAAAGGGCCATTAAAAGACTTAATCACCCGGAAGAGGGGGCCCTGGAAGAAGGGTGCATTTGAACCTTGGAGAGGGTTCGAAACCATCCGAACATGGTTAATTCTCCAGTATTCTTACCGGTTAAGGATACTTCAAGAAATTACTAGGTTACAGGTATTCCATCTACAACCTACCGGTCATAAAAAAAAAAAGAATACCCCGATTGGGTATTGATATAGAGGAACTTCGAAAGTTCCACAAGGCGAAGCAGTTCACCGGGCAGACCGTGGAGAAGGGACCTACCGGTCAAACTTTGCTTCACTTTCAAAACAAGAACGAAGGTGTTCAAAAGCCAAAAAGAAGTCTAGCCGGTCAATCATTCTTCAAAATGACCACCAAGTTGGAGTTCAACCGGTCAAAGTTATTCGAGCTGAATTTTCAAGTAAAGTGATCAAGAAAACTTGGAAGATCTACCGGTCGAAAACAATTGGAAAGTGGCCTGAAATATCTACCGGTCGGAATTGCTATGATGCAATAAAAGGTAACAATCATGGTGCAAGAATATGGAAGGTTAACCGGTACGAAAATCAAGCATCATATTTAAACAAAACGAGAAAGTCAAGCGTTTACAGATACACCGGGCGTCCCCGGAGAAATGAAGGTAGATTCAAGTTTTACAAAACAACCGGCCACGTCCGGGGAGATTCTAATCTAGAGGGAAAGGGGGAGTAGGTTCTTCTTCTGGAATAGGCGCCAGGCCATAGGAAGCAGCGGTGAACTCCAGATCCCTCTTCAACAAGACCCGGTGGGAGGCAGTCCGATCTTTCTTCTGGCCGCATTTGAATCCAAAAGAGCCAATCTTGGTGATAATCTTCTTCCCTTCAGGCTCCCGGTAAAGGAGTTTGAAGGATTCCATGGTGTCTTCCGGGCTGGCAGTCATCACCCGGGCTGCTTCGGCCTTGTTCTCTCCCACCCATGCAGCAGCACGACCGGGAAAGTTCTCTTCCTTCAGCGCCATCTCCTTCCTCATCTCTGAGACCTCGTCCATCAGCCGGCTGTTCTCTTCCTTAACCCGGGAGATCTCCACCTTCAATGTCCCAGCCAAATCAGAAAGCCGGGCAAGCTCATCTGCTTGGCTCTTCAAGAGGAGAGCCATTTCTTCCTTCTCCTTCTCTAACCGGGCCACCTTTGAGGGAGAGCCCATCCCCAGCTGCTCAACTGTATGGGGCCCAATCTCCCCTTTCTGCACAAGCAAAGAAAACGGTTAAATTACTACAAAGAAATTAACCCAAATTTGACCGGGGTAGGGGAAGGCCTTACCTCTTTCAGCCTCAGGCCCAGGTTGACAAAGGCCTCTTCAATGGTCTGGGAGGCCGGCTCAGAATCCGACCTCGCCCTCTTCTTGGCATAAGAGGGGTGGGTTGTGGCCACCTTCTTCTGACGACGACTGATCTTTTCCTTGCCCGTCGTCTTTGACTGGTCGGGATGGGGCTCATCATCGTCCAAATCATGAACTTCCACGGTCTCGGGTTGGACCGTGAAAGTCTTGGTAGTACCGGTCTGAGAACCACCGGTCTCTCCTTCTGGCTTATCTTCGGGCATGGCATACTCCTCGAACTCCATATCTGCAAGATAGCTAAAATCGTTAAGTACGAGAAACGTGACCGGTCAAAGCACAAAACGAAATAAGAATAAAAGTACCTGGGTGGTTCTGGCCCTCGGCCTCTGCAGTGTTGCCCGGGGAGGGTACCCCGCGCCCCGCTGCTTCATGGGCCTGGGAGGTACCCTCACCACCCGACTCGACCCTCCAAACCCAGCTGCCGTAGTGAAAAACCCTCCCGGTGAAAGGATCCCCGCGCATGAGGACCTCGAGACTCGCTTCCAAGTCAGGAGCGGAGGCCGGTGCAGCGTACTCTTGATTAAGCAGATGGTCGTTCCACTTAAGACCGGCCAGGGGAGTGACGAAAGGGGGGAACTCGATGAAAACAAACTTTTCCTTCCACCCCCGGTTACTCTGTGGGACTTCGGAAATGAACTTCCTACCGGTGCGGCCTTTGAAGTATACAAAACCTTCGCAGCCGGTTCCGCCCGGTAGGACCTCAAAACAAAAGAGAAAAGGCGCAACGAGGGCTCAATTTTGAGGTGGGAACAGATATTTACAAAGGAATGAAGATACCGGTGGGCGTAGGAGTGATCTGGCCGGGTAGAATCCTAAACGCATGGCATACTTCGGTGAGAAGGGGGCGAAGGGGAAAAACGATGCCCGCGTCAAGGGATATTGTATGGAACCTATCCTATCCTCCCGGTGGGGTTCAACAATGTTGGGCCAGTCGTGTTCAAACAAAAGAGTATACCCATCCGGGAGCCTTCTACGGATTTTGTTCAAAGCAATTTTGGACACGTGGGAAGGAATTTCAAGAACGTAGAAGGTGGGGAGTGGAAAGTAACCGGCTTCGCGAAGTCGCTCCTCCCACGCATCCCTGGTTTCGCTTTCAGGGTCGTATGGACTCGGTTCCTCGTCAACCGGCTCATCCCTCCCCGCAAGAACATTACCGGGCATTTGATTAACGGGTTGTGGATTGGGGATAGAAGAATTGGGAACCTGACCGGTACGGGGGAAAGAAGACCCGGTCAAAGATGAGGAGTCCTCAGAGGAGCTGTCCTCAGAGGACGAAACCCTATCGCTACCTAAGGGAGACATAACCGGGAAAGAAAAAAGAGATGGAAGAAAGGCTTACTTGACTCGGAGGGCTGAAAGGCGAGAGAGGAACCTGACCGGTGAAAGCGTTGAGGAGTGGAATGACGAAATGTGAGCAAGTAAGAGGGTTGAAGGTCTTTATATAGGAGGAGGGAGGCCAGAGTAGGCGACGTGGCGCCTTGTGATTGCGCCACAACGGGCGGCGCAATGATGATACTTGGGCAGACGAAAGGACGCGAGGACAGCCGACTGTTGCAGCGGCTGGGTTCCAACACGTGGCGAGTTCTTCCAAATTTGAAATTCAAATTTTGAAATTTCCAGGCGGGAAAAGCCCAAAATTCGAATTTGAAGTCCTGTTCCGGATTTTTTACTTCCCGCTCATGACAAAATTGCATAACCGAGAAGTGGAGGGCTTATTGATGGGTGTATTCCACCCACGACCGGTCAAAGGAAAGGACCAAGTAGTTGACCGGTCAATCATGGAAAATCTGGAAGGAGGGCCTAAATCGTCAACAAGTGAACATTAATGGATCCATAATTGACCGGTAGACTTCTGGAAGAAGTATACCGGTCGAACTACCTTATCAACCTTTTTCGTTCCCTAGCTTCGACGAGCTCATTCCTTGAAGTTACCCGGTGTGTTTTCCAGGGATGGAGAGCGTCGGCAAGAAAGAATCCGAGGTGGTTTGGACTATAGCAGTTGGAATTGCAGAGATGCTGAAGGCATCTTTCCAAACCAGAACGCGACGAAGGCGCAGCCCCCCACGCAAGATGACAAGACGGTGCAGGACCAGTCACCTCGCAGAACATCAGCAGCGTGCTCCCAAGTGGGCGCACGTGGTCTTGCCCCCCCCCCCTTCAGCCTAGTATAAATACGCATGTAAACCTCAGAAGGAGGGGGCCGAATTCACTCTCTCTAAACTCCCTTGTAAAAGTGACCGTGCATTCTTTGTTTTAATACAATTCGGGCTACAGGTGTTCCACCTAAAGTCCTACCGGTCATTCTGAGTGTTTACTTTCTTTACTTTACTGAATCAAGCCGACTATTCTAGACCCGGTCTAGTATAGTTTGACCGGTCAAGTAATTTACACCATCAGGTTAAGTACCGGAAAATTTATTACCAACTCTCTTGTAATGTACTCCCTCCGTTCCTGAGTGTTTGTCCACTTTCATTTTTGCACACCATCCAATACACTTCTTTAATCCATTTTATCTTGTAATTTGTATATCAAAAAATTATAAAAATTATATATTAATAATCTATATGTTAAGACGAATCAAACAAGATCACACATGACTATTTTTAGGCTTACACATTGAGAGAATTTGATGAGTCAAAGTGCTTAGATGAACAGTTCCAAAAGTCAAAAGTGGACAAACACTCAGGGACGGACCAAGTACTTACTATTATAAAATGTAAAGTTAGGCGTAGTACTCCATAAACACTCAGGGACGTCTATTGGTGACATTTGAGTGCCATCATTATATAAGCATGAGGCCTATGCAAATGCAATGAGTAGAATTTCACACTTAAGCCAACTTATTTAGATTATACTCCCTCCGTCCCAGAGTATTTGTCCACTTTCATTTTTACATACCATCTAATACACTTTTTTAATCCATTTTATCTTGTAATTTGTATTTTAAAAAATTATACTCCCTCCGTCCCACTGTCTTTGTCCACTTACCTTTTGGCACACCATCCAATGCACTTCTTTAATCCATTTTATCTTGTAATTTGTATATTAAAAAATTATAAAAATTATATATTAATAATCTATATGGTAAGACGAATCAAAGAAGATCACACATGACTGTTTTTAGGCTTACACATTGAGAGAATTTGATGAGTCAAAGTGCTTAGATGAACAGTTCCAAAAGTCAAAAGTGGACAAAGACAGTGGGACGGAGGTAGTAGAAATTATATATTAATAATCTATATGTTATGACAAATCAAACAAGATCGCATATGACTATATTTAAGCTTACACATTAAGAGAATTTAATGAGTCATAGTGTTTAGATAAAAAGTTTCAAAAATCAAAAGTGAACCAATATAGCGGGACGGATGTAGTAATTCAATTTGAGTTTTCCCAAATTTCAATAAGTACTACGGAGTACGTAATTGTTAACTGGGTGATAAAGGGCCATCCATTCTTTCTTTCTTTTTTTTTTTGAGTAAATTCCCAAAATAGTCCTTTGTAATAAGATGTTTTCCCAAATTAGTCTTTAATAAGTTTTAATTACCTACGTGGTCCTCTATAATTGAGATTTATTACCAAAATAGTCCTTTGTAATAAGGTGTTTTTCCAAATCAGTCCTCAATAAGTTTTAATTACCTATTTGGTCATCTATAATTGATATTTATTCCCAAGATGGTCCTTCATAAATAATGTTACTCAAATGAGGATTAATTGAGGGTATTTTTTTCTGCTAAATTTAGAATTAATTCTTAAAATAATCACTTATAATGAAGTGCTTTCCCAAATTGGTTTTTCTAATGAGTAATTAACCTAAATAGGACTAAAACATAAAGACTTTCTCAAAATAGGACCATATATTTTTATTTCACAATGTAGGACCATTAGTCATTATCTATTAGTCATTATTCAACTAAATATCTAGCATTACCTGGACATTATTCTTCTCACTAGTCATTATTAAGTCTTGTTTAGAAAATAAAAAAATTTAGGTCCTACATTGGGAAATGACTTATGTTTTAGTCCTATTTACTGCAAATTTCATTTTTTTTCTAATTAAAGATGTGTATTTGATTTAAAATTTAAAAGATTTTTTTATGTTTTAAATAATTCATAAATTATTTATGAGTAAATTCTCAAATTGGTCCTTTGTAATAAGGTATTTTCCAAAATCAGTCATCAAATGATGATTAATTGAGAGATATTTTGGTATTTTGATCATCCAAATTTAAAATATATTTTCGAAACAATCATTTTTGTACAACTAAATGTAAAATTTAAAAATACATTGACTATAAATAATGTATGAATTATTTAAAACTTAAAAAAATCTTTTAAATTTTCAAATCAAATATACATCTTTGATTAGAAAAATCATTTTGGGAAAGCATTTCATTATACATGATTATTTTAAGAATTAATTCTAAATTTAGCGGATAAAAAATAACACCAATTAATCCTCATTTGAGTAATATTATTTACGAAGGACCATCTTGGGAATAAATCTCAATTATAGAAGACCACGTGTGTAATTAAAACTTATTGAGGACTGATTTGGGAAAATATCTTATTATAAAGGACTATTTTGGGAATAAATCCAATTATAGAGGACTACGCAAGTAATTAAAACTTACTGAAGACTAATTTGGAAAAACCCTTATTACAAAGGACTATTTTGAGAATTTACTATTTTTTTTGTAAAAGTCAAACGAAACAAACCCTAGATAGCATTAGAATCCGTTCTACTCTAAACTATCCACTTGCTCGTTGCCTCCTCACAAGTCACAACGAAGGAAATGAAGAACGGGGCAGATCGGGAAACGTCCTTTTCGTCTTCTCCGAAAACTGGTAAATTCTTCCCCCACCCCCATTTCTATTTCGCGGAAGAAATAAAAGCCGACCTTGAAATGACCTAATTATTGTAGGAATTGGCGTTTGACATGTTACAATGTTTCATCTCAGCTTCCGATGACGACGACGAGGAGGAGATAGATTACTCAGCGAAGCCGGAGTTTTACGACTCCGACCTGGACAACAAGGATGAATCATGGGCTCAGAAGAAAAGGGGCGGCCGTACCTCCGATGCCACCCTCAGTTGCCCCGCTTGCTTCACCACACTCTGTCTTGATTGCCAGAGGTATTCATTCTTTGCTTCCCTCTTTCTTCATTTCTTCGTCACTTTCTTTCTCCAAAATTGTCACATTCACCTGTGGCTAGTGTTCAAGTTCTTGGAATGGATTGCTGTGCCAGCACAATACTCCCTGTTGTTCTAATTTCTAAGAGTAGTTAAGTAATGCACACGCATTAACCAAACAAATTGAGCTATCACAAATTTATGTAATCAGCAATCTAACATTCTCTCATCTTAAGTGTTCTCAGTTTCTCATCTCTGGTCTACCGTGGGGAGGTCAGAGGTGAATGAGTGGTGCTCCTTCTCAGCCTTTCCATCTGCCCAAAGTGAAGAAGAGAAGATAAACTCTTTTAGAACCACATTATCTTACACGCACCATAGCATCTATGTCCGGAAATTACTTGTCCACTTTTAATTTTCGGGATATTCAAAATCAGTTTTTTACTTACCGTACTTGGCAAATTATATGGAATTGTCAAATACTCCCTCCATCACATAAAAAGGTTCTACATCTCCTTTTTTTGTGTGTCCCAAAAAAAAGTTTCACTTTCCACTTTTAGAAAGAGAATTGTGGTCTTTATAATTCCTCTCTCCTATGCATCTCTTTCAACCACACAATTCTACTTCTCTCAATGTTCGTGTCAATTCAAAGGTGGAACCTTTTATTGGGGCGGAGAGAGTATGCCCCTAAAGAGCATTATAAACTAATAACATTGTTGTCGACAATGAAAGACAAGGAACAAGGATTTTTATTGGGTAGGTTGTCGTTGTTGTTGTTGTACCCACATTCCTTAGTTTGAATTATTTTGGAAAGTGGATAACAAAATCCTAAATGATTGGAGTGCTAGTATTCTCCATTTATATTGTAATTCAAACAAGAGAACATACAATCCTTTATAACCAACCACCTTCATTCATCTCCTAAGAGAAGGCATTGCCCTGACTAATAGAGTAATTGAGTATTTGAGGATCACGACTGATTAGAGTCAGAGGGAGGATCTCGTCATTTATGGTTAGTTTGTGTATACGAAGTAATAGTACCAATATATATGAAATGCTAAATTTACCATCGGTGCGGGGAGCATGATCCCCATTCCCACCCCTAAATTAATGACGGGGGAATATTTGTCCTTATCCCCATCCCCACGGGAAAAATCCCCTAATTTTTGGGGGCCCAATCTTGGATTCCTGGGATCCCTGCACTCTTCATCCCCATTGCCATCCCCATCCACGGGAAGTCGTTGTCATCACATTATGATGATGTATGAGTGTATCACATGGAGATGCAGGTTTCAATATGATATGATGGTATTTTATCTTTTCTTAAGCAACATTCAAAATGATAAGCTAGTACATTTGATAAATGTTGTATCATGGGATGTTGCAGGCATGAGAAGAACGTGACCCAATATCGAGCCATCTTTGTGGTCAATTGTAAGATTGAGGACGAACCACAACTCGGAAGTAAACGAAAGAGGGACAGAAGGAATGGGGAACCAGAGGCACGTCCTGCTTCGGCCGATGGAGCTGAAACTTTTAAACATGTGTGCTGTAGTGTGTGTTTAACAAAGGTCGGAGTCATTGATGAAGATGAGGTCTACCATTTCTTGAATGTTCTCCCTAGCGAGTGTTGACGTTTTTTTTAAGTTTTTGCTTACTAGTAACTGCAAATATGTAGTTTTTGTGTGTTTTTTCGCCCCCCCCCACCCAACCCAATGTAGTGCTTCAAATCTTTGTGTTAAAAATAAATGGTGTCCAAAATTTCTCCTGTGATGGAGTTTCTTGATTCAATTCTGCAGATTGCTTTTAAATGAAAAAAATGGATGTATTGAGTTTTGTTCTCAATATCTCCTCTCCATACCCCATAAGGGAAATGTTACATTTCTCCCCTATTTCTCCTCCGATCCCTTCTCTCTTTAATTTTTGTCAAGGGCTGATTATCTCATTGGCTGTTACGAAGTATTCCCTCTCTTAACCTAAGATCTTCCCATTGCGCGTTATGAGGCTTGACTGACTTTATTTTCTATTCAATTTATTTAAATATAGGGATAAAATTTTAATATAAAATCTATGTAGTAATAAATTATATGAAAAGTTCTATAAACCTAGAGGTGAGTGGTGACAACACTATATTATTTTATAAAATGAGTAATAAAAATAAACAAACAAAGTGAATTAAATTTGACCATGTAAATAGTGTCTGGGAAGATATGGTAGACAAAAGAATACTTTTTATCTCGATAGTCAATGACACTTGTTAATTTTAGCAACATGATTTGCCCCATTTGATCTTGAATTGATTATCTAATCTCCCTCTAAATTCGTCCCTAAATTGATGACGAAATATATTATACCAATTCTTAACAGAGATCATATTATACCAAATCAAATCATACTTTAATACAACCAGATCAGATCTAGTCGAAGGGAAAAATTAACATCAACTGTCTTGATTTTTACTGTATTTCATTTCTTTTATACGGAGGAGTATAAAGGAAGTAAACGGCTCGTGACCAACCAACCAACCACAAGATGGAGCACAACCACAGCAGTTCACCGCATCAACCAGATCCGCTAATTCCACCACCGCCAACCGCCCACCCTCACCAACACGCCGCCGCGAGTGCCTGCGCGAACTGCGGCGGTCCCACCTCTTACCCATCTCCACCTCCCTCCTGTAACCCTTCCTACATCCCCATTCGTGCTCCGGCCGTGAACCTCCCCCCCGCGAACACTAAGGAAACCATCATCCGTACGCCGGTCCCGCAGTCTCAACAGGTGCTCCCCCTCCCCCCGCCCTACCAATTTCAAGCTCCGACAAAGAGAATCCAGTCTCAGATCGACATCGATCGCTTTCATTCCTCCGACGCTTGCCAGAATTTCCTCGGCTTCCTGGTCTCCCTCTCCGAGTCTATTCGCTCCCACAAGCTATCCGATCCATGCCACGTGTCTTCCGAGGTCTCGGCTCTAGTTTTGGTCATCCAAAACTTGATTTCATACGCGGATGAGATCCCTCCGGCGCCTCAATCCTCTCGATACGGGAACGTAGCTTATCGGACCTGGCATGAGAGGATGTGTTCGGGCGCTGAAGCTTTCATGATTCAATTCCTTCCTGAGGAGCTCCGTTGGGCCACAGTCGAGCTCGTTCCTTACTTCACTGATAGTTTCGGAAACGCCATTCGAATAGACTATGGTATGGAATTTCACCGAGCTCACGATTATCTGCAAGTAGTATTTGATCTATTATTGTTTCTGCTGCTTCTGCTCCTGTAGGTTTCATAGCCATCATCTTGCAATCTTGTTATTGATAATTGATATTACAAAGAAGAAGCTGGACCAAGTTATAATTGTGATGAGGATTAATAATTGGGGCTATTTTAGTGTTTTAAATTTGTTATGGTTATTAGGTGATATTTTGTGTGGAAGTCTGCATTATGGGATTAGTTTCAGGGGGTGTCATTTCCATTAACATGTGACCAACCAGTTAGATTCATTCATTGGAGAGTTAGAGTTTGGAATATTAGAGAGACGAACATGGGTTTTTAAAACTAGCTAATCAGTTACACTCACTCCTAGAGTCTTAGTTTGGTTTAGCCCAAGTGCTTTGTGGACAATATGGTGTAGTTGAGTAACCCCACCCAATTCCAAATTTTATAGAGTTTGGATCAGAATTGAAGTGACAAACAAGAATAGCTATGAATTTGAAGACACATACTCCGGTTCTTATGGTTAATCTGTGCAAGATAGATTAGTATTATTGTTTTCTAAAACCTTACAAAGTGTAAAAATATTAACTTGTTTCTTGAATGATTCTTTTTAGGAACTGGTCATGAAACAAATTTTGCAGCCTGGTTGTATTGTTTAGCAAGACTAGGAATTGTGAAAGAAAATGATTATCAAGCTCTTGTGGCCAGGGTTTTTGTAAAATACTTGGAGCTGATGAGGAAATTGCAAATGACATATAATCTTGAACCAGCTGGTTCCCATGGGGTATGGGGACTGGATGATTATCACTTTTTGCCTTTTATATTCGGGTCCTCACAGTTGATTGATCACAAGTACATGAAGCCAAAATCAATCCATAACCAAGATATTTTGGAGAACTTTTCAAATGAGTACATGTATCTCTCATGCATCGCCTTTATAAAGAAGGTGAAGAAAGGGTTATTTGCAGAACATTCTCCTATGTTGGATGATATCAGTGGGGTGCCGAACTGGAATAAGGTTAATAGCGGTTTGCTTAAGATGTATAAAATTGAAGTCTTGCAGAAGGTTCCTATCATGCAGCACTTTCTTTTCGGTTCCATTATCAGATGGTATGTCTCTCATCTTCTTTATGCTTTATAAGTAATGGACACAGTGAATACTGATTTATCTTAGCAGTTCAGTAGTTCTGTTATAATGTCGGTAAGATTTATTTTTTCATATCAACTATGGTAATTCTGGATTGTGTCATTCTGAACATATCTCAAGTTTTCACTGGATCTTGCTCCTTTTGTTACAGGGAATGAGAAGAAGGAATGTTATAGTCCACCTGGAAATTCGTTTAACTTGAAGCACCAGCTACTATTTATATATGGAGTACTAGTCTATAAATGAGATTTTCTTGCCTTTATGGAGTGCAATCAAGGACCCCCACGTCTTCCTTTGCATGCTTATTTTGTACTGAGATTGTAGACGCAGAACTGCAGATGTGTGCTCTGCATGACTTCTTGTATTAGCATTTGCTCCCCTTGTCCTACCTTACTAATACTATCATTAACTATCAAAATAACTCTTTTTTTTTACTGTAATACTCCGTAAGTAAGTAAATACAGACACAAGAAAAAGGTGAAGCACCACAAGTCCACACCGCCAGACTAAAAGGTACCGATACACTACTGATATAAAGTTGTGGTGGCTGAGCAATATATAATGTGGTCAACGAGGTTCATTCTATTGACCTTCTGGCTACTAGTCCTCTCACTAAGATTTTTGCCATGGACATTTCCCATAAAACTTTTTTCTTCGTTGTTAAAAGATACTCCTAAGCTATATTTCTTGACAGGGGAGTATTTTTGATGCACACAAACACCCTACCTAACCAATATTTTAGTATAATGGTTATTCTTATACCATCCGTCGTTGACATGTACTCATTTTTTTCTTCATGTGATGCTATATGTTGGAAATATTACAGTATTTTTCTTCAAAAGTTCATATTTTAAATGCCTTTTCTCGCCAAGTCTCACACTTAAATGAGACATTGGGTATTAAAGGGAGCTTGTGCTTTGAGTTCTAAGTTGCTTATTGACCTAGAATACATAATTACTCCATACTAATAAACATAGATCCAATCAGCACGGTTCGATTTCACAAGCTGTAACTGCAAATATACGACCTCAACTCAAAACGAGCTCATTTTGCTTCATAATCTAGCAACCAAATGGTATTTTATAAAAATGGCACTCTCTGATTCTCAATTGCATCAGCTGTGATTTTTATGGTAATTAATCATCATTCAGTAATGTGATGAGATTTAGATCAAGGTATGCATATAGCTTGCTATCACAGAGTCTTTCAAAGTAAGAGCATGCGAAACCATACTCCCGAGCCATAGGGGATCGTATCCAGCGAGATCGGTTTCCTCCTGCACCAATGACAACTACTGCTGTCCCCTCCGTGGCAAAGTTAGCCAAAGGGACTAGAGCCTCGGGTTCAGTGACAGATGAATTGAGGAGGTATTTTGCTTATTTACTTTTTAAAAAAATTAGATATAGCTTTCTAAAGAGTTGTTGCTTCTAATGGAAGAGAGTAAAGACATTAGATAAATACCTTTTCCAAAATAACGATATTTTAAAGAAAGAGAAGAAATGGAGATATATCTCTCCATTGGATGATAAACATGTGGAAAGAAAAGTAAAATTTGACAATTATTTATTGTTCTCCACCTTCTTATAAACTTGCGAGCTTACAAATTCCCTCTCTTTCGCATCACAATTTTTTTTTCATTTTCTTTAAACTTTGTGCCAAGTCAAATTGTGAACTCCATTATTTTAGGGCGATACTTCTTTTTAGGGAACAGATCACGAAATAGAATTCGCAGCCTGGTCGCATTATTTAGCAAGATTAATTAGGAATAATTGTGAAAGAACATGGTGATGCTATATGTTTGTTTTTTTCTTTATATGTGTGTGTTCAAGGGAAAGAAACCTCATTCATCGCAACAGCCAGGAATAGCATCAGCAGCACGAGGCGCTAAATAAAGAACGGGCAAACAGTATTAGCACAACAACATAGTAATAAACAACACGTAGTACCCCTCCCTCCCACTCCCTAGATAATCATACCAAAACACTTAAAAGGGAACCACCACCACCACCACCTTAGCTTCTCCTAAAGGGCCTGCACAAGACTCAACCAGCCCCACGTAAATGAGTCATTTGGGTGGTGTTAAAGGGAGCTTGCCGCTTGTGCTTTATTTGAGTTCCAGGTTTCTTATCCTCCTAGATTATTATCATACATAGATCCACTCTACATGGTTCCATTTCACACGCTCCTAGAGTTCATTTCGCTTCCTAATCCATCAATCTAAAAAAATATAAAAGGCACATTCACAAATGCTTCACCCTGATTTTAAAAGTCGTCATCGTCATTCGGAGCATTGTACAACCTTTCAAAGTAAGAGCATGCCAAACCAAACTTCCGAGCCACAGGGGATCGTATCCAGTGTGAATGGTCTCCTCCATCACCAAAGACAACTACTGCTGTCCCCTCCGTGGCAAAGTTAGCCAAAGGGACTAGAGCCTCTGGTTCAGTGACGGATGATGCATCCACTAAAATGACATGGCTGAAATGCCCAGCCTCTAATCCCTCACTGTGTAGCCGGTGGCTGCTCATAAAGGTGGACAGAATTACCCTGTATCTCCGGAGCTCATCAAGCAAAGGACAGAAAAAACACCCGGTTTTATCTTCATATGTGCAAGAAGGGAGGATGTCTTTAGGTACGTCATCCCGTTCTCGGAATGCAGCATTGGCCCGTAAAATTTCATGCTCAGGAATCCTCTGCATCCATTTCATTCCTCTCAAGAGCAAGTCACAGGTTGTGTTTGCAGGTGCACACAAAAGGATCCGGTTTAGAGGAGATGCATGAATCAGTCTCACTGCAGCATCGACAATGAGATCTCCTGTCCCTGATAAACGTGGGTGTGTTTTCCTTTCCCTTATAACAGATAATTCCTTCTTTACCAGGTAGGGCGGTGATGCCCGTAGTCTCAAAATCTTATCAATGATGAGCGAGTATTGGTTGGAAAGAAATCTGCTCTCTGGAAGGATTTCTGGGAACAGGAAGTTCCTGAACAAGGGACCGGACGTGGATTCAATTGCCTGGTGAGCACGTTTCAAACACACTCTGTTGAATGAGAACTTGACATCATATTTACAGGCCGGGCGATGCTGCTTGAGAAAGTCATCTTCAAATTCGGATAATAAAAGATTGCTTCTCACCACCCGATAGACCAGCCCCTGATGTAAATAAATAATCAGTGCACAAAGGTTGGAGTTCTTTATTATCAGTATAAAATGTGTCTACTTCAATAAATTAGAAGTTAGGAGCTCACCTCAAAGATCGGGAATTCCTTCTCCGAAGGTTTTAGTGTGACAAAGTCCCGAGATATCAAAAAAGGCCTTCTCTCTGGAACTTTATCAATCTCAAATGCTACAAATGTCTTTTCATGTTTTGGGCCATCCTCATCGATTCTATCGTGTCTACTTTTTCTTTTATAGATGGCTGCATCGTGCAACTCCAAGGTGACATCCTTCATTTCGAAGCCATCCCATTTCTAGTGAAAAAGAAGAAGAATCCAAATTAGGTAAATCTAATACCCTGTTTATACTCAGCACTTGGGTAAATCTAACAAATGTTTTATGATACTATAAAGACATCAATTCTGGCCTATTGGTAAAATATTTCTTTGATACTTTGATGCTTATAAGTAATATGAAATAAATAGGAAGACTCGAACTACCTCAATATAGACGTCTTCAGCATAGAGCAAGGCACGAAAATAGTCCTTGTACGTTGAAATGGACAAGGGCTTCTTGAGAACTTGTGGCACAACATCCTTCTCAATCAGTTCTTTTAGATCATCAGGAGCTACATATGTAGGCGATGCACCCTTCTCAACCCATATGTAATTATTTGTAGCATTGTGATTTTTTGCTGAATCTACACGCAAGGCTGGTTTAGTGAAAAAAGAGAGCTTTTTTTGAATAGGAGACAGGAATGATGGTGGTGGTTTAGGAGAAGGTGAAGGAGATGGGGTCAGCAACTTGGTTGTATTCGAAAGCAGCAACTTATCTTGGGGTGAACGAGAAGAAGGCAATGAAGAGGGTTGCAGGTGATGGGAGCATATAGGAGTGGTACCTTTATTTTCTTTTGTGGTGTTGGTTTTGATGATGGTGTTGAAGCTGCGAGTTTGAGCAGCTTCAATTACTTCCGGTGACAATGCAGAGGAAGGAAATGACTGCGATTTAGAAACCTCATTTTGCTTCGGTGTAATTGAAGAGGAAGAAAATAAATCTCTTGGCTTTGTAGAGACTTCATTTGCCTTGTGTGAAGATGGAGATGAATAACCAAAAGATTTGGGCGGTCGGAGAACCTCACTAAGACTTGATGAAGTAATAATGGTAGTTGGAGTTGGTGTATTAGCCTTAACTGGTGGGGGTGGGGGGAATTTCGCAGATGGTGAATCCACAGGCAAGGCTGGTTTAGTGGAAAGAGCAGGCCTTTTTTGACTAGGAGCCGGGAATGATGAGATTGGTTTAGGAGAAGGTGAAGGAGGTGGGGGTGGCAGCTTGGCTGTATTTGAAAGTAAGAACTTATTTTGGGATGATTGAGAAGAGTGTGAAGGCTTCTTAGAAACAACTTCAGTACTACTCGCCTTGTGTAAAGCTGGAAAGGGAGGGAGTACTGAATCTCTTGGCTTTGTAGAAACAACTTCACTGCTTGCCTTGCGTGAAGCCGGAGAGGAATAACTGAAAGATATGGGCTGTGGGAGAACCTCACTAAGTCTCGGTGAAGTGGTGGTTGTCGGAGTTGGTTTATGGGCTGCAACGGGTGGTGGTTGTGGTGGTGGAGGGGGGAAGGAAGAGAGTTCGTTGGCCTGAAATGCATTATTGCGATGGCTTGGTTTTGATGAAACTTTAGATTGGGTAGTTCTCATTGTCTCATGATATGATGGGTAGGAAGAGTGAGTATCTCTGATTTCGGAGTAATGGTGCCTTTGTTGTCTCCAATGGGATTCTGATGGATCCTCCTCCCCACAACAAACAACATACCGGAAAATTGCAATGAAGGCGCGACTTAGATCCATCTCTCTCTGATCTGATCCCCTCCCGGGCTTTGATATATGTATCCTTTGGGGTTCGATCAACTGTTGCAGATCATACTAAGGTATATAGTCAGTAATAATTCTTAACAATTTGGAACACGCACTACTGTAACATATCTTCTTACTGATCAATTGGACAGAAAGAGTAAGAAATTAAAACCCTGGTGCAGTGGGTAATTATGCAGATCAATCAACTTTGGTGAGATTGAGTGATGATGATGAATTGATGACGATGCTTGAGTAAAGGAAAGGAGGACTCACCTTAGAATTTGACGGATGGATGGAGAAGAAGAAAGATACGAAGATAGTGGATGCAGACTCATCATAATGGAGCTGAGGAGCAAACTAAAGGCGCTGTGATCAGCCCAATCACCCATTTCTTCACTTCACAACGCTAAGCAAAGCAAAAAGTGTACAGTGACCTGAGAGAAGCAAAACAAAACAAAAAAAGTGACTTTTTTTTATCGTCCAATGAAAATCAAGTCTCTCTTTTCTCTCTCTTTTTTTAAAGTCTCCCAATTGGATGTCCAATTTTCTATATCACTCATCATTATTGCTTCAAAAGAGGAGGAGGAGGAGGAGGAGAAGAAGAAGAAGAAGAAGAAGAAGAAGAAGAAGAAGAAGAAGAAGAAATGAAACAGCTTCCACTAAGCAAAGATTCAACTTAGGTTTCAGGCTTTCAGAGACAATGTAAGAAAAACAAAAAACAAAATTAGGCTTCGGATCTACCCACCCATGCAGCCTCGAAGAGCAGATCGATTGACAAGGGCTTTGGCTTATTCACTAATTTTCTTAGAGGTGTTCATACAAAAAGCCCCCATGTATTTTGGCTCTCTTTGGATTTGGCTTGTCTGAAAGTTATCCGATCCGATTTGGCTTTAAAAAAAAAAGATTATGCTGTCTACCCAAGATTTGTACTCCAATTTGTACCCTGCAGTTTTGCACCAAAATTTTGTGTTGGTGTAAAACTAATTTTTGTTAAACGCACCAACATTTGTGTCCGTGTGAATTTTTATTAACGCACCAACACTTGTGTCGGTGTAAACCATTGAAATGTTTATGCAAACCTATGGTGTACAAATGAGGTATATTTGTTGGGGTAAGTGTACCATGGTCCTTAAAAAAATCTCTTTTTTTTCCTTCAATTTATTCTTATTTCTATGGAGTTTTTCGTATTATTCCTTTTTTTAGGATTTGATCAAATCAGAAATAGTTTTAAATATAATTACATTCAGATCTGACCTAAACTTAATTATTTCAATTAGATCAAAACTATACACATAAGGTGAAAAGAAAATGACTTTACTATAGCCAATTTTTGTCAACTTTGCTAGCCTATTATCATTAATTATTTGACTATTGGAGTTTTCACATCGACAAAATTAAAGAAGAACATTACTAGCATATGTATAGAAGATTGAAATATGTCTATCAGCTTAAGCTTTTGATTTTGGATAATAGAACCTGACTTTATATGCAAGCGGTTAATTTTACCCGACACTCTAACCGTTATTCTCGACCCACTGATATTTTAACATGGTAATGGTATCACAACAGGTCCAGTCCGAGTTTGATTCTTCCTGATTAGCTGGACATGGGTTTAGCAATATGAGTTATTTGGATTGAGTTGACTATAAGAGAAATAAAAGCTACCGTCTGATATGTGAACTGTCTCTAAAAGATTGAGATGCTAGACCCGTTTGTCCGAGTGATAACTAGATCAAGCTAGTTGGATTTTTTACATCGACAAAAATAAAAAAAATACCACTATACTTTAGTATTTTTCTCATTAGGATAGCTTTTCTAAAAATCTAAAGATAAAATATTGATACGAGAGAGCTTGAAGAAATACCAAAGATCCCTTAAAATCCTTTCCTTTCGGGCTCCCTAAATATTAGTGGATATCCCATGTTTGTTTTCCATATCTTACTCCATTTTTCTTTTCTTTCCCCATGTCCCAACTCACCCCACCAGTTGTGGAATTTGACATGTATCCACCCCTACGTTGGAACCACATTGTCGTCCGTGTATACCATTACAAAATACCATGTCAACACATTCTCTTTTTCCTAAGACCATCTATAATTTAAAAAATTAAAATATAAAAGAAAGTAAAAAGTAATTTTATTTTTATTATAAAAAATAAATTTGATTAGACATAGGTAAACATTAAATAAAAACAATAATTATGTAATCATTGCAATAGAAGTTAAATACTCCCTCCGTCTGGAAATGTTCTTCCCGTGTTGACTTGGCACGCTTATTAAGGAATAGTAAAAAAATGCAAAATTTTGAAAAATACACATATTATAAACTTTTAAATCTCCTTTTATTATTAAAAAAGTACGAAAAAAGTAGATTTGTGATAAAATATAAGACTATTATTGATATTTAGCCTTAAAAAGTATACTAAAAAAGGAAATGAGAAGAATATTTTCGGACAGACCAAAAAGGAAAATGGGAAGAATATTTCCAGATGGAGGGAGTATTGCGTATTGATTTAGAGTGAGTGAAAATGAAATACTGCAGATAGCCTAACTAAATTTATTATTGAATTTAAAGATTAAGAAAAATAAAAATATACTTTCTCCGTCCCAAAAAATCTTTCTGTTTCACTTTTTGCGCATCCCATAAAACACTTCTATCCCTCCTTGAATGCGAAAAAACTTTTAAAATAACTTCTACTCACAATAAAAAAGAAATGTTATAAATTTTAGGCATTTTAGATGTCGGTAGAAGTGTTTTATGGGATGCGCAAAAAATGAAATAGGAAAGAGTTTTTGGGACGGAGGGAGTAAAAATTTGATTAAAAATTCTCTAGAAAACATAAAATTATTGGTAGCTACATATTTCTTTCTTGAAAAAGAAAATAAAGAAATAAAAATTGTATTTTAATACGAATTAAGCATTTTTTGGACAAACGAATTAAGCATTCAATTTAGGACTAAACAATATTGTTTTCGTCCCAAGAAAGTGTTTACAAATTTTAAAAAAGGTACTCTCCATCAAAAATATTTTTTCCCGATTTGACTTAACATGAAAATTAAAAAAAGTTGAAAAATATAGACTTTTCATTTAAAATAGAAAAGTGAATAGAGTGAATAGTATAAATATAAAGTGAATGTATAGTGACATACGTATTCATTAAAATTTGTTGCCAAAATAAGAAGCAGAAAATAATTTTTTGACGATCTAAAAGAAACGTGTGAAAGAAATTAATGGAAGAAAAGACTAATAAATACTCCGTAATAAAATATAGAGTCTCTATGTCTTAAAATATTCTTCTAATTACTTTTCACACGGTCAAACTTTAATTACTTTTTTTTTCAGGCAGTAATAAAATATATGTAGTGAAGGATAAAAAAATTGTAATTGATTGAACATAGAGAAATGAATAAATGTAATATTTTTGGTCAAGGTATAAAATTCTTTTTAAGAAGTCCAAAATGAAAATGGTAAAATCATTTTGGGGTGGGAGAATATGTGCCTTTTATACGAAAACTTGACAAATGACAATAGCTCTATTTTGAAAGAGTGCAATGAATAAAGATTAAAGAATTGAGGAAAAAAACTCCGCATCAGTTACTGATAGAAGCATCACTCTAAGCAAAGAAAAGGGTGATCGCCATCTCAACACGTTTTCGCAGAAAAGCTTGGTTCTCTCTTCACCTTCTCCACCTAATTAGACTCCCGCTGCTGTTTGTCTTCTAGGGTTTGGCCTCGTCTGGTTACTTTCTTCTTCTTCTTCTTCTTCTTCAGGGTGCATTTCCGATCGGAGTTCTGCTTGGATATTTAAAGCAGCGTTCCACTTCACTTTGACATTTTCTCAGTACGGAGTAGTAATTGAGGATTAATCACTGTCGGCGAAGCTGTCTTGAAGAATTAATCTTCATGTTCCGGGGCTGGACTTGAATTGTTTGAGCTGGACTTTTTTCTCCCCCCTTTTACTCGATCATGTCCTGCTCCGCTTTCTTAGGAGAGATCCAATTCGGTTTTGGAATTCATCCTATTCGTCCATATCTGCTTACAAAGTCGTTTGCTTCGTAAGGAATTTAAGGAGACCTTTTGTTCTTTGAATTGCTTTTGTGAAGGGGAAAAAAAGCGATCAACTTTTGTATCCAATTATCAGAGCCGGATCGTCTTGTTCTCTTAAAAATATTTCCTTGAAGGGAAGTGGGTTAATAGCATGGCACAAGTTGATGTGGACTCTGAGACTACTTCTAGAATGGCATCTGGTAGTATACTGGAGAATGGGGAACTTTTGAGTTGGGAGGCTAATGGAAATCCTAACAGGGATGATGAAGAATCCCCATATAGGAATTTACGCTTTCCTACAGAGGGAAGTCTTGCCATGGATGAAGATCCAAATAGTCCCACCTCTCATTTGTTTTCATTCGCTCCAACTGCTGCTGAATCAAAGTGGAGTGACACCAGCTCATATGCCACAAAAAAGGTATCCTTTTAATTTTGGTTTTTGTTTTTAACTATGCCAACACTTTGTTTTGAACAGCATGCAACTTGATTATTGATTTTGAAGGTTGTAAAGAATTAAACTTTATCACTCCCTCTCTCCCTCCCTCTCTCCGTATATTTACAACTATGTCTTGTCCCAGGATACTAATTTGTAATCAATGTACCTATGGTTGGCTGTCATTGTTTTACTAATTGAGGAAAGATGTTTAAGATATTGGCAGTCATTTGTGTATTCATCTTCATTCCTGCATGCTTTATATTTCAGAAAAATAGTTCCATAGCTTATGAATTTTCGGGCTCAAGTGCATGCAGCATGCTACTATCATGCCCCTTAGGTCGCACCTTGTAACACAATTAAATCAGTACACGTAAGAAAGAAGATAAGTACATGCCTAAAACATAGTTAATCTATTTATGAGATAAGGTCCACATTTCTTAGCTGAGCCAGGGCGCACCTAAGGATTATGGGCTATAGCATCTGAACGAGAGAAGCTTTGGGATATCTTCTATATCTAATACACTGCAACAGTTGAATTAAGTATCCCTTTTCTCTACTCCCCCCAGAAGTATCCCTTTTTTCTACTCCCCCCATCCTGAAATAAGTTTCCATAAATGACTGGCATGGTTCTTAACATAGGTGAAAGTGTGTGGTTGAGTTATGGGCAGAAAAGAGAGAAATTATGTGAACCAAATTACCACACAATTCCTTCCTCAAAAGGAAAGAGGAACACTTTTTTTATGGGACGGAGGGAGTATCTTTTAGAGGATTTTTTTTGCATGAAGAACGTGGTCATTTGCTCAAATGGCTTGACATCGGTTTGCACATTGCAAAATAGTCAGTAGAACCTGTCATTTTATTGAGTGTCACCTACTTCTAAAGTTTTCCGTTTTCAGAAGGTATATTCTTGGTTTCAACTTTCCAATGGGAACTGGGAGCTTGCATCGATAATTTCCACCTCTGGAACTGAATCAGTGATATCATTGCCTGAGGGAAAAGTAAGTTTAGTTACTTAAATTTTGTTTTTGGTATAGAGTAGTCTAGGTTAAAGGTGTTGTTATTTTTTTTCTATTTGGCTGCCTTGATTGCAGGTTCTAAAAGTAAAATCTGAAAATCTGCTACCGTCAAATCCTGATATTCTTGATGGGGTTGATGATCTAATGCAACTAAGCTTTCTAAATGAACCGTCAGTTTTGAACAATCTTCAATATCGCTACAGCAGAGATATGATATATGTAAGCTCACATTTTCCATTGTACCTTTGCATTAATTCTGTTTAATTAGAACTGTGTTTGACTTCATGATTTTTTTATTCTAGACAAAAGCTGGACCAGTTCTTGTTGCCATTAATCCATTTAAGAAAGTTCCATTATATGGGAACAATCACATTGAGTCATATAGGCGTAAATCAATTGACAGCCCACATGTGTATGCCCTCACTGATAATGCAATGAGGGAAATGGTGCGAGGTACTTAAACTGTACACAATCTTCTCCGAAAATAAGATATTGTAAAGTCTAGTTTGGACATAAATGCTGTAGAACTTTGACATATCTTATTTTCTTTTCATGCAGATGAAGTAAATCAGTCTATCATTATAAGGTAACAACTTGCAATTTGATTGCATGGCAGTTATCACTTGTAATATTGTAAAATGAGATAAACTTATTTGTGTTACTCTAGTTTTAATGCCTCTTTTTCTCTTACTGGTCTTTTGTTCCTTTGTAATCAATTTGAGCTATGTTTGGTGGACCATTAGTACATTGTACAAGGGGAATGAGGAAGGGAATGCCAAGTGAGATGAGCTAAGATGTTTTAGTAATTGGAAGCTTCTGATGTGAAAGAATGCAATAATAGAGAAACATAGTTCACAGTGTTGCAATTTAAATTACTTCGATATTTTTTTACCCAGAAAGTTACTTAGATAACTAAATAAAAACAGTGTTATTTACAATAACATGGACATGTGTTAAAGGAGAGTGGAAAACCATTGCTCTAATTTGTTGATTATGAGTAACGCCTAAAATACAGAACGATCAATTAGCTTTTTCTATAGATGGTAGACATATCACCAGAGATAAGAAATACGTTCTTTAGCTCTATTTGGTTAAGTTGTGGTAGTGGGAAGGAGTTTCACACAATATCTATTGCACAAAAGCACTTTTTCTTGTTTATGAAAATAATATAGAGCATATCTATTGTTAAAAATATCAATTCCTTCCTCTCAGTGGGGAAAGTGGAGCAGGAAAAACAGAGACAGCAAAGATTGTAATGCAATACTTGGCTGCACTTGGTGGAGGAAGTGGAATAGAGTATGAAATTCTGAAAACAAATCCCATCCTGGAAGCCTTTGGTAACGCAAAAACATTGATGAATGATAACTCAAGTCGATTTGTAAGTTATTTTCCATGGTTGAATCTTGTTATAAGGAAACTAGCGGAAAACATGTTTAATTCAAGTGAAGCTCTAAACCTTCCTTTGGTATATATGATTTGGGGAAAAAAATTCAATGACAGGGAAAACTGATTGAAATCCACTTTAGCCAGACAGGAAAGATATCAGGGGCAAATATTCAAACCTGTAAGGTCACATCCCATATAGGTTCTTGAGATGAATTTTCTAATTACTTTGATGATGATATGACAATTAACATATGTGATGCATCTTTTTCTGGTCTGCAAATGCTGCTCTTTATTTTCGTAGTTCTACTGGAAAAGGTATTCGTTTTCTTCCTTTGTTATAAATGGTCTACTCATTTGTCTCTTATGCAAATAACTTTTAACTTGTTATTTGCAGTCAAGGGTTGTACAGTGTGCAGAGGGAGAACGGTCATATCACATCTTTTATCAACTTTGTGCAGGAGCACCACCTGCCCTCAGAGGTACAAATCCATTATGCTATGATGATGTGTATCATCATCATCATCATCAGCAGCAGCAGCGTTATCATTCTTATTTATTGCAATTACTGAGCATTGCATAAGTGATTCAATATTCCATCCCTTTATTGCTAATGTGTTCTTGTACAGTTATATTATTAGAATAGGTTCTGAATCTTCCTTAAGGTCTTGTTTAAATGGGCTTCCAATTCCCGAGAATTATATGCGATACCCCCTTTTGTGATATTATGCTTAGGGAATTTGATTTCGATGTTATGTTGCTGTTCAAATGAAGATTCTAAGTCTATGCTGTTATATTGGTGCCCACTTGCAGAAAAGTTACATTTGAAGGGATTAAATGAATATAATTATTTGAGACAAGGCAATTGTTACTCCATATCTGGGGTTGATGATGCTGAACAGTTTCGAGTTGTAGTGGTAATTTTTTTCCCTTCTTTTTATATCTAATTTTCATAGTCTCACCGAAAATGATTTCGCTATCACAATTATTTTTGCTGTTATACATAATACTCCATAATAAATAAGGAATATTTGTATTACAGTTAGCTTCCTATTCACCTATTAGTTTTGCAGATTCTTATATTTTCCTTATAAATATTGTACTCCTACCATGGTATTATCTGAGTTCAATAGATATCTTTTTCTTTTCTAGGGCGGCACCATCCCCTTCTCTTCCCCTCGATCCTCCTCCCACCATGACGGATCTAATGTCTCTCAAGATAACCCTTTTAAACCTATGCTTCTTTTTTCTCCCTACTCTATCCTGTTTTTCTCTCCACACTGGAGCTTCTACTTCTTCAATGATCATCATAACAAAATCGTTTCTTCTTCTTCTTCTTCTTCTTCTTCTATCTTCTATCATCTTTATCTTTCTTTGAAGGAATCTCATATTTATCTTAATTCTAAAAAAACTCTGTATCTTTTTCCTCATCTTCTGTCATCATCACCGGTAAAAAAGAAGGAAAAGTCCTCTGTATATTTTAAAGAAATCAACACAAGGGGCATGGACGCCAAAAAAGAACCACTCTTTCTTTCACCATCTTAAAGCTTCTCCAATCTACTTCCAGCGATCTCCCTCAGTCTGCAGCCCTGATTATTATCACCATCATCATCATTTCAAATTTTAATGGATCCATTTTGTATCTAGGGAGGCTGATTGTAATATATCATTTTTTCAGGAAGCTCTTGATGTTGTCCACATTAGCAAGGAGAACCAGGAGAGTGTATTCTCAATGCTAGCAGCTGTCTTGTGGCTAGGGAACATATCTTTTACAGTTATTGACAATGAGAACCATGTCGAACCTGTTGTTGATGAAGGTAAAATATTTTCAGGACCTTCAAAGTGTTTTGCAAGTGCGTGAAGATAAACAAATGGTTTGATGGGTTTAGCATGGCTCGCAGATATTTACATTGACAACTTTTACTTTAGACTGGTGTTCACTCAATCCATTATGCCCTGTTCTAAGTTGCTTAGAGTGATTAACTGAACTCACCCATATCTTCTTCTGGTCTTTGAACACTACTTTGTATAATATTCCAGGACTATCTTGTGTTGCTTCTTTACTGGGATGTGACGTTGAAGCATTAAAGCTGGCTTTATCAACTCGAAAGATGAGGGTTGGAAATGATAATATAGTTCAAAAGCTTTCTCTAACTCAGGCAAGGATGTATTAGTTCAGATTCTGTTCAACTCTACTTGGTAATAGGTGGCACTGCATATGGAATGATGTACTAAATATGCTTATTGATTTTCATGACTCTATTTTCTAGGCCATTGACACCAGAGATGCCCTTGCGAAGTCAATTTTCTCTTGTTTATTTGACTGGTTGGTCGAACAAATTAACAAGTCACTTGCAGTTGGGAAACGTCGAACGGGGAGGTCTATTAGTATTCTTGATATTTATGGTTTTGAATCATTTGAGGTTTGCTCTTCTGCTTTTTTTTTCTTTATCTGTTTTGTTCCTCATTGTCCTGTAATAACATATTATGCTGCTCTCTTTTCAGAGGAATAGCTTTGAGCAGTTCTGTATTAATTATGCTAATGAAAGGTTGCAGCAGCACTTTAATCGACACTTGTTCAAGTTGGAACAAGAGGTTACATCCTTTTCTTATATGCCTTGTATTCAATGGATGCCATTCCAGCTTAATCTGACATGCTGTTTCCTAGAATATCTTGCTCGATATCCTACTTTTGGCAATTTTCAAGGAGATATAATGGAAACACTGCAGAGAGTTTTCTTTTGGGGTGGGGTTTAGAGGTCATAGTGAACATTAGTGGAACCAGAAACAAGAGCAGCATCCGGAAGCATAGTCTGAAAAGAACTTTTGTTTATTTTCTATATGAGCTGTTTTGATCGAATCATGGAGGAGGTTGTCTCTTGCTTTCTTAGTAAATATATGGTTAAGTATCCAATAAAAAAATCGCAAATAAGTGTGCAAACCAGATGGAATTTCATCATATTTACACTGTGCTTAATCCATATCTTCAACATGAGAAATTGAGAATATAATCCTGGAGCTTTATCAGTTCCTCTGGTTGTGTTGCACTCACATTTGTTGTATGCAGAAGTGTTCTTAGTCTTAAGCAGAATTTAGATTCTTAGACAACACTCTACGGCCTATGCTGAGGTGCATTCTCTGTGTTTCATCATATTCACAAAACGGAGTAACTAGAAGTTCTAAAACGGAGGCCAGTGCTTAAAGTGTGTCAAGTAACTAGAAGTTCATAGTTCAGACTTAGTTGTCCATTTTCTTGTTTTCGTATGTCTAGAATTAGTGGTCCACTTCCCATAATATAAACAAATTATGTATTAACTGTCTAAAATATCTTAGAGATGGGACTTGAGTGACATTTAAAATTATTTCTTAAAAATGAGTTTTTTCTTAGAAAGTGGACAACTAAATTCGGGCAGAGGGAGTATTTGAGTTTCAGAAGCATGGTTCCTCTACGCACGCTTGAGTATGTTATTCAAGATTTGCATGTATTTCCAGGAATACATTCAAGATGGCATTGACTGGAAAAGAGTTGATTTTGAAGACAACACATATTGTCTAAATCTTTTTGAGAAGGTATGGATTATGAAATAACACATTACATTTGAGATTGTCCTGCATGCAGACAGAGTACATAAAGCTTGGTATATATGTTGGTAATCTCAACCTGACCCTTTCATGGATGCATAAAAACAATAGAAATGAGAGGATAAAAGAATGTAATTGAATAACAATCTAGAGGAATTGTGAAGACTGAAGACTATCATCCCATGAAGAAGGTTATCACCTTATATTGTATTACGACAAAAACAACCCAGTATGATCCCACGATAATTATTGTGACCTTAAATACCTCATTAGTTAAAATGACCTACATAAAGTATGGGTTGTTGAAATTCCTCATAAGTTAAAATGACCAACATACACAAACTCCCCACAGTCATCTTCTTAGTTACGTATAGCCTCCATAACCATCATATTACTCAGTTACCAGAACAATGGTCACCATAACCAGCTATTTAAAATATTACTATTATGGAGTAAATCATCTTCAGACTGACCTATGACCATAGCTCAAGATATGTTTGTGCATAGGAAAAGTTAGAACAGTATTGAGATTTTGGAAAATTATCAAATGGATTTATTCAAAAACGTAAATGTATGCAGTATTTGATGACATTGATAAGGATTTTCTTTTTAAAATTATTATGAACTACTCTGTATATATGTAATTTATTACAAGACTAAAGATGTGAGAATCTTCTCTTTGAACCTGTCTCTTCAATTTAATTCTACTCTATAATGATGTATGCTGCATGGCTGCCCATCTTGATATTATTTCTGCTATATTGGCAGAAACCACTTGGACTGTTATCTCTTTTAGACGAGGAGTCCACCTTCCCTAATGGCACAGACTTGACATTTGCAAATAAACTCAAGCAACACTTAAGTTCTAATTCATGTTTCAGAGGTGATCGAGGCAGAGCTTTTACTGTGTGCCATTATGCAGGGGAGGTATGCAGTTTAGTCAATCTTCTTTTAGCTGCCAGCCATTAACAAAAAGAGAAGACAAAATATTCCCATCCTTTATCTTAATTATCTAGCTGCTGTATATATTATGGTATATTGTTGGTGCAAAGATTTTAAGAATTGAAATTCAAATAGTAGTCTGTTGTTGTCTATCATCTAGCAAATAAAATGATACATTGTTATTTGTTAAGACATTTACTTTCTAAACTGTATATAGGCTCAAGCGACGTGCAACGATTTTGACATGATAAAAGTGCCATGATACAGTTGAACTTTTTCTCGTTTTGTCTCTGAGTAAACCACATGAATTTTTTATATTTCCAGGTCACATATGATACATCTGGTTTTCTTGAGAAGAACCGTGATTTACTCCATCTGGATTCCATTCAACTTCTCTCTTCTTGCGAGTGCCGCCTTCCTCAGATATTTGCATCCAGCATGTTAAATCAAACAGATAAGATTGTTGTAGGCCCTTTGTACAAATCAGGCGGTGCAGATTCTCAGAAATTAAGTGTTGCCACAAAATTTAAAGTAATATTACACTTACACTTTTCAACTGTTTTAACTACCTAGTTTTGATAGTTATGCTTTCTGGGGGTGCCACTTAATTTACTCTGTACATTGCTCAAAGTTCCGATTCAGTAATGAAGACAGAAACAATGATGTCTTTTTATTTTCATATATGACAGGAGAGAACTTATTATTCATGTGTTCCTTTTGTAGGAAGATATTAAAATTTTCTCTGAAACAAAAGCCATATTATGATCTCATGTCTCTAAAACCCTTGTTTTTAGGGTCAACTGTTCCAACTGATGCAACGCCTTGAGAGTACTTCATCACATTTCATACGCTGCATCAAGCCTAACAAATGTCAATCTCCCGGGAAGTATGACCAGGGACTTGTTTTGCAGCAGCTGCGATGCTGCGGTGTTTTGGAAGTAGTACGAATATCTAGATCTGGATTTCCTGCAAGAATGTCACATCAAAAATTTGCTAGAAGGCAAGTTGCAATGTTTTTTCTATTTGATCAAGTATTCTCTCCACCCTCTATGTCACTGATCATAATTATTCTTCTCCAGATATGGCTTTCTGCTACTAGACCATGTTGCCTCACAAGACCCTCTAAGTGTTTCAGTTGCTATTCTTCATCAGTTCAACATTCTGCCTGGTATGTATCAGGTTGGCTATACCAAGTTGTTCTTCCGAACTGGGCAGGTGAGATGTCGTCAATAACAAGAATGTTTTTTCATTGATATAAACTTTTAACTTATAACTTGACAGTTTCTAAATACAAACACACTGCTTATACAGAAAAATAGTGGGTCTACGACCTAATGGGCTTAAATCTAGAATTTCTAAATTGGATGTAATGTACTGGTTTCTGCTATCAAAATGTGAATGAAATAAGTTTGCTGTGTAATCATGGAGTTGATGGTATTGTATGTTTCTTAATATGCAGCTAAATTTTTAAAATAACCTGTAGGGCTAGAAGCCTTACTCAGCTGAGTAGTGTGTGCGTGTGTGTGTGGTATTTATTCTCTATCTGTGTTTGTAACTAGTCATTACATAAAAGTCCAATATTCCAGGTTGGGGTCCTGGAGGATACTAGAAATCGCACCCTCCATGGTATGTTACGTGTTCAAAGCTGCTTCAGAGGCCATCAAGCTCGTAAATACATGAAAGAATTGAAGAGTGGAATTATTACCATCCAGTCATGTATGCCTTGGTGAACTTCATTATTGCAATTCAACATCTTATTCTTTCAGGGATTGTTTTATCTGATGCCCGCCCTTCTTCTGTATAGTTGTTCATGGTGAAAAAACCAGAAGAGATTATGCAATCTCCCTACATAAACACCGAGCAGCTGTGTGCATACAGAAACACATAAAAGAAAGGATTCGCAGGAGGACTTATAAAAATGTTTGTAGTGCATCCATCCTGATACAATCCGGTAAATATGTGTTGAAATTTGAATGTAAATGCATTAAAATCATCTAGAGAGTGGTTTGTGGTATCAGCTTTCAAGCCAACTAAGAGATGACTCCTGTGTTAACTTTGTTCTCCAGTTGTACGTGGGTGGCTGGTAAGAAGATGCTCGGGAGACATAGGGCTTCTACAATTTGGGGGCAAACAGGTAAAAGAAAAAAACAATAATACTTGTTCATGATATGCCCTGATGTGTCAAAAGGCAGGAACACAGCTGTAGTCAGTAGTAAGTTCAGTTCTTGCAAACGTACTATTCACGTAGCTTCTTCTTGATAAAAAACAGGCACAGAATGGGTGTGAAGAGGAGGTAGTGGTGAAGTCTACATTCCTCGCAGAATTACAACGGCGAATACTAAGGGCAGAAGCCGCACTGAGGGAGAAAGAAGAGGAGAGGGACATGCTTCACCAACGGCTCCAGCAGTACGAAACCCGTTGGTCAGAGTACGAGCTGAAAATGAAGTCAATGGAAGAAGTGTGGCAGAAACAAATGAGATCACTGCAGTCGAGTCTGTCCATCGCAAAGAAGAGCCTGTCCTTAGATTGCTGCGACTCCTCTGCAAGGAACTCTGATGCGTCAGTGAATGCCGCGGGAAGTGATGAGAGAGAGTCCAGTTGGGAAGCCCGGAACAGCAATGGTGCGAGGCCCAGCAGTGTTGTGATCACCCGGTTGGCCGAGGAGTTTGAGCAGAGGAGTCAGATCTTTGGGGATGACGCGAGATTCTTGGTCGAAGTGAAATCAGGCCAGAGCGAGGCTGCAAACTTGAATCCTGATCATGAGCTCAGAAGATTGAAACAGATGTTTGATGCCTGGAAAAAGGACTACGGCGCAAGGCTAAAGGAAACCAAGGTCATATTGAGCAAGCTGGGTAGCGGGGGTGAAGAAGGGGGCGGGTCTAGTGGTGGCAGTGATAAAACAAAAAAGAAATGGTGGATGATGAGGAATAGCTCCAGGTTTGTTTAACCCATCTATCCAGAGAGAGAGCTGAGTTATTAATTACTCCTACGGAGTATTAGTTTTGTATAGAGTGAGTGAGTGAGTGAGTGAGTTCCGTTGTAAAATTCAATAGCGAGCCAATTTCCATTCTTTGTTCATCAACATTACTTTAAGTTGAGTGTTGATACGAATCCTTATTACGCAATTAATTCTGTAATGCACGACGACATTTGATGATTTAGCAATGATTTTTCTTTTTTAATTTTAATTTAAATTTGGGTTATGTTTGTTATGTATATACGCACTTGTAATTCATTTTGCAGTAAGTATTTGATTTTATTCCCATTACCTTATTTAAACTATGGGTTTCTTACAAAACCTACTCGTACTTTTTTTTTAATATGGTGGTTGAATAAGAGTGAGTCACAAATTCTTTGGAGGCACGGAATTGAGAAATTCTTTCTTCGTTTTTCTTCACATTCATAATTGTGAAATGAATGCAAAAATGTCGAATTCCCAACCCACCATCCAAACCGGCATTCACACATGTACTCTATTTTAGTTGTTCATTTCTAGTTGCTTTATTTTTTCAGAAATGCGTTTAAAACAATATTCGTACTCATATAAATACTCCCTCCGTCTTAAAACTTTCTTTTCCAAAGTACTATTCCAACTTCACGGGAATTTATATTTATTTGTGTTTTTTCATGGCCTATATGATAAAATAAAATATTCTTGTCACCACTTGTTTTGTTAAACTTTTGATGTAGTTTTTAAATATGTATATTTTATTTTTTATTTCTATACCAATATTTAAATAAAATAGATTGAAAAAACTTGGAATTTTTCTTCGTTTTGCGCAACGGGAAGAAAGATATAGGACGGAGGGAGTATATTTTTAATCAAAGTCCATCTAGAATGTATGATTTGTAACTCATCTAGAAAGTAATGTCTTCCTGTCTTAATATTCTAATTTTAACTTTTTTCAGTCAATTATTTTTAATCTTAAATCTATAATTAAATAAAAATCAAAATTAGACAAATAGTGGGGAAGAGAAGTAAGTAATATTTTATGCATTAATTCTAATTATCGTACATAAATCTGTGTCTCCCTCTTCTCTCCAAGAAAAGAGGACTTTGTCTCTCCAGCAATTTCATATTCGCAGACGACACGACAAAGAAAAAGGGGCTTGCTGTTCATCAGGTCCGTCCAATCTATCATCCCTCCGTTGAAAAGGAGAAGGAAAAGAAAACACACAGTAAGGTCTTCGATTACGAATTAATCTCATCATCTGCCAATATCTTCCTTTCCTGTATTTTTTACGCAATTGATTGATGATTTTGATGAGACCAGTTAGGAGATTTCATCCCCTCACCTCTGCCGTGTTTTTGTGTATGTTTGTGTGCATATAACCCCGGCGGCCGGCGTCAAGGGGTTGATTCGGTGAAATGCCAACGAAGCCATTTTCAATCACATCTCTGACCGACCCCATACGTCAAGGGGTTGGTTGGTTAGTCGCTCCCAATCCAATTGCTAGGCGTTCACAACGTCAGATAGTCATTTTCACGTTTCTTTATGATTTTGACTTTGAATAATTCGTCAAATAATTTCTTGAGAAGAGACCTCACTTCACAGTCCCTATTTTGTGTTCTCTGTGCCCTAGCTTCTTCTGCTCACCCACATAAGAATCTCTGTAGCAGCAGAAGCCCATGTCCTCAAGTCGATTAACTGAAGAAACGGAAAGACGACCGGTGGAGAACCAAGAACTTAAGTGTTGGGGTATCTCCCCAATATTCAAATATTAATCATGTCGGAGGAATGGTGTAATATGTATTGTGTGGCATGTGAACTTTGAAAAGAAAGAAATAAGAAGAAAAAGACAAGAAAGAAATGAAAAAGGAGGAAAAAGCAAGTGTGATGAGCGGAATGAGAAGAGGAATGGCCAATGTTGATTATGTGGCTATAAAAAGCCAATTCAAGATATGAAGAATGTGTAGCCCCAACATGATAGCCGTGAGGAGAGGACATGCCAAGAAAGAGGAGAGATGTAGTCTCCAAGAGCCGCGAGAATTTTCTAGTATAGAGGGAGTTCTCACAAAGATTGTGATGTTTTACTTCAATTGGTATTATAGTCAAAAGTTTAATACGAAAAGATTGTGGTTTTTTCCCTATTGTGTCATCTTTTACTTTTTCTGCACATTTTTGGTTCTTCCCATATTTATCTTTTGCGAGTGGTATTATTCGAGGGTAAAATTTCCCAACATCAAGATTCCAAGAACTACTTGGGAACATAGAACGAAGAGCACGCGGGTGTCCTTAGGATGTCTAAATTCACAATGTTAATACTTGTAGTTTTTGGTTAATGTCCATGTTATTAGTGTTCATTGGCATGGCCAATCTCTCCTCGAAGATAATGATTAGTATGAAACATTTTTCGTTGCCCTTGCTTCCATGGTCATGCCCGGGTCAGATTTAGATGGAAGAATCAACCAAATCTGAAACGGTGGTGACTGAATATGGAAGGAGTAAAGGAAGATGAAAAAGATCAGCCACGGATAAAGAAGGTAGGTGGCGGTGGGAGGAAGAGGACTTGCAGGGATAAAGCTGTGGCTGGGGTGAGCATGGGAGAGAGAAGGATGAGAAATGAGGAAGAAGTTAGATCTTGGGTTAGGGTTAGGATTGAACTATATTCTACTCCGTAATTAAGATATACTGGCATTTTAGTGCATACATCTTTATAATTATTAAATAAAACTAAGTAATTAAATCATATTTAGAGAATAGAAAGTAGTAGGTCCTATATTGGGAATGATGTCTGTTTTGGTACAATACAAAGCAAATATCTTTTGAAAAAAATGTAATATGTAGTATGTACTATGTGTTGCAATCATGTTGGACGCGATATAGAAAACATGATGGTTGATGGAGAATGTCTCTTCTAATATGATATTTTAATTGTATGTTGTTTATTATCAAATGGAAAATTCAAAATTGATATATTTTTCTTATTATGAATATTATGACTCATTTTTAATTGCATTAAACTAGAGACTCAAGATTCTATGTAGGACCCTATATAACATAGGACCGGACATTTTTTACACTTATCATGTAATTGTATTCTTTTCCTTTTTCTTTATATGTGTACTCTTTAATTTTTCTAATCTATACATAATCCAATATTTATATATTTCTTTCTTTATTTTTATGCAGAGCCTATTGGACTATCACAAGAGCCTTGCTGGGTTGTGACTACCCTTTTGTAATTTCTACTCGGGCTGTCAAATGGATTTTCTATGTTGACAGCCCGATATTCTCTCCGGGAAATAACTGTCCAACGCCATCCTCGAAAGAGAAAAGAGGTACTGAGCCAAACTCAACATAAATTTGTTTTATTGTTTATTATTTGGGAGTGAGTATTTTGGTTATGTTTCTTTTCCATGTTATTTGGGGGTGATAATTTTGACTGTTACTAGTGTCTTGTTCCTGTGTAAAGAACTGTTTCTGTACAAATATCTTGCAGATAATTATATTTTAGAAACTCGCTAGTCTTGAAACACTTGCATTGCTGTATATCTAGGATTTTGTGGAAGAAGTATATGAAAGTTAGTTGCGCAAGGGTATGATGGGTTCCTTGTCCGGAATCCTTCAAAGGCCTATAATTGCTGCTTCTGCAGTTGCCATAGCTTCTGTTTCTGCTGACCTCCGCGATAAACTGTGGCCTTTCAAACATTCAGAGACTTGTCTCTCATCAGAACAGCCAAGTTCTTTACACCATGCAGCAGCACTTGAAGGAAAAAAGAAATCATGGGTGCATCGGATGTCAGGCTCTGATTTGGCTAAATTTTCTTTTGTCACTAGAATACGAGTACCAGTGCCTCACATACAACCCCAGATGTTTACCTCCACACAAACTTCATTTACAAGCCATTCCACCTTTCCAGTGTCTTCTCATGTGTTTCTCAATTCGTATCAGTCAGCAGCATTGGACAAATTTGTGAATCCAGCCACATGTATGCATAATGTTCTTCTCTCACCTCCACCAGAGGGATTATACATATGGCATTTGCCCAAGCCAATCTCTCTTGATACATCCGACTGCCCGCCATCAAAGTCAAGGACATTGGTTATATTATTAGGATGGTTAGGGGCAAAGCAGAGACATCTGAAGAGATATGCTGAGTGGTATAACTCCAGAGGCTTCCATGTCATCACTTTCACTTTTCCACTGGCTGAGATTCTCAGCTATCAGGTTGGGGGGAAAACCGAGAAGGACATTGAATTGCTTGTGAATCATCTTGCTGATTGGTTGGAAGGAGAGAATGAAAAAAATGTGGTCTTTCACACTTTCAGCAACACTGGGTGGTTAACGTGAGTCCTCCTTGTTCTTTCGATAAATTCCTTATTCTGACTACTGGCTAATGCTTTTTCAATCCTTGAAACAGTTATGGTGTCATTTTGGAGAAGTTGCAGGAACAACATCCCACTCTCAAGGAAAGGATAAAGGGTTGCGTTGTGGATTCTGCTCCTGTAGCTGCTGCTGATCCTCAGGTAAGATTATTCTTTGTGATGTTATATTTATTGATACATCATTTTTGGATACTGTGTATCTCAAGTACTGCTAGTCACATATATGTGGGTGGTCGGGATTATGTTCTCTTGCACAGTTTGCAGGCTATGCCGGGCATAAATTTGCCAGTAAAATGTTATCTTTTTTTCTAGTTTGTTAACGCTAAATAACTATGAACCATAGGATTCTTTTGACTACCAATTTAGATGTCCCTGAGTACAAATTGTAAAATTCATCTCATCTCTGCTTTGCCATGTCATCTCTTTTGGATGACGTCAAGTAACATTGTGAGACTGGTTATCTAGCTGTTTTTTTTCCTCTTTTTGAATTTGATCAGATTTGCCTTATCTAGGTTTGGGCTTCAGGATTCTCAGCTGCTTTTCTTAAAAAGAGCAGTGTCGCAGCTAAAGGTTTTATGAACTTAAGTGAGCCACATTCAATTGAAGCAAAGACGGTTGTGGATGTCAAGCCTGCAGCAACTGAAGCAGCATTGTTAGTAGTGCTGGAGAAGGTATTTGACTTGGTTTTGAACCTTCCAACAGTAAACAGGTAAAGACTTTTTTGTCTGTCTTTTTCAACTTATGAGTCTCAACTAATTTGGATTTTATGCACATGTTAGAACGATGGAGTGCTGAGTGGTTGACATAAGATCTCCCAATCATGAATGGGTTACATCATATATATTCATTGAGCCTAATAAAGAGGAAGTGTTGCATAGATGCATAGGTTAAGGCGGATGTGTGGTAAGACTAGAAAAAAGAGTGCAAAATAAGCAGATTTGCATTGTGGCGGTTGAAAAAATATATGCTCCTGACCCCAAAAACTCTTTACCCTTTTTATTTTTTAACAGTCTTATTAATCTACGTTAAAGTCAAAATAGAAAGGGTTTTTGGGACAGAGGGAGTAGTATCGTAGAACAAGTTAGGTTGGTTGAAGCGCGATAGAATTCAGTCTTCTTGAAGTACCCTGGGTAGTAAAGAGAGTGGAGTCTTGGATTGGTGAAGCCTAAAAAAGTGGAAAAAGAGGATGACCCCGGGAAAGATTGTGTTCTTGTAGTTGGTTCAATTGGTCTGGGATTAGGGCTTGGTTGTTGTTTTATTTAGGCGTGGATTACACTCTCTCACACACACACACACACACACCAATGGTATTTAAGTAATGTTAACAAGCATACATGTGGTAATCCGCCACATCTGAAACGTGGATTGCTTGCTAAAATGGGACTGTTGAACTGACTCTCAGGCGGCTCTCTGGGGTAATGAATCTTCTGGAATTCCAACAGCCCAACTGCCCGCAGTTGTACATATACAGCAGTGCAGACAGGGTTATCCCTGCAGGGTGCGTGGAGTCTTTTATTGAGGGGCAACGAAGGACTGGCCGTGAGGTTCGTGCTTGCAACTTCTTATCTACCCCTCACGTCGATCATTTCAGAAATAATCCACAATTATATACTTCTGAGCTCTCTCATTTTTTGGACGGCTTGGCGCTTCCCCCAACTCTGCAACACAACACTAGCCATTCAACTTGAATCGCTTTCTTTTAACTCTCACTTATTCTTTCCGTGAAGATAAGAATCATGCGTGTAACTACCTTATTCATTGATGTATGTAGAAAGCAAGCAATTAGGCTGTCATTTGAAACAAACAGAGAAAAAATTCCGTCGTATACTGATATATTCTTCTCCCTTTTTTGACCAATGATTCTCTCAATAATGGCTTAGAAGTTCTGCTTAATTTAACCACATACTCTAGAATGCTTTTGGTGTGCGGTGTTTCATTATTTAAACACATATTCTGCAATGGATGAGAAGCTATATATATAGTCTACACTGGACATTTACGGAGTATATGCTAGTGGTTGTTTGGTGTGTTTCGTTTCTTCCATTGTGCCTCCACTCACCCCTTCGTTTATCATTGTTTATGGGTGTTTGGAAAATAGCCTCTTGGTCTGCTTTTTGCATTTTTGCCTGACTTTCATTATTTTTATTACTCTACCGTCTATCATAGATGTTCTCAGAAAAAGAATGAAAGTTTACTAAAATATTCTTAATGAACATGGGTAAAGTATGTTAATTAAGTGAGTGAGGTATAGTAAATAAAGTAAATGAAGATATTTGTTGTATTTTAATTGATAAAAAAAATAATGAAAAGATTTTTCCCAAAGAAAAATGACATTTAAGAGATCTTTCCTGGACAGAGGGAATATTATTATTCAAAAACCTAAAATCAATGTTTCACAAATAATTTTTTCAATTGGTTGTTCAGTGTGAATCTGAAAGGCAATGGGCTATAGATAATGCAAAATATAGATTATAATTTAGATTATAATTTAATTGAATCAGATCAAAATCAATTAGATAAATTGAAGAAAACAAGCCCTTGTGATCTATTTTGCTCATATTCTTATCCTTCTCCCTAAACATTATCTTAAGAATACAAAAAATTCCAACTATGCACGTCTTCTCAACAGTACTAAATTTATTAAATTTGTTTCGTTTAAAGATTAATAAAAAAGATAATTCGAACTATATAATTCACGACGTATTTAATAAAAAATCATTAAGAACATCATAAAAACCCATGAAAGATTCATGAAAATTCGAACTATATAATTTACATACTTCTCTAAAGAGTAAATTTTATAAATAGTTCCTTATAACAAATGATTTTTTATATTTAGTTCTCTATTCTTAAATATTATATTTGCAGTCCTTAATTTTTTAAAAATTATTCCATGAGTTGTCCTTTAAGATATGACCAAATTTTCTTTAAAATATTTGGACATATTTGGCCTATATGATTAATTATGAAATTTATTTAAAAAATTTAGTCTGATTCCTACGACTCTTGCCTGATTGGGACTAATATTGGTCTTACTCGGGGTACACTTTTTGGTCCAACTTTTTTTGAATTAAAATGACACAAAATTTGTAATGACACAAAATTTGTAAAATTTGTAAAATTTTGTAAAAAATTTAGTCTGATTCCTACAACTCTTGCCGCTTAACAGAAGGTTTAAAGTTAGATTATTTTATACTCCCTCCGCCATAAAACTATCTTTCTGTTTGTGTGCTTTCGAGGTTTGACCGATTTTATTTTAAATTAAATTTATTTGATTATAGATATAAAATTTAAAAATAAAATTTATATATTTAAAAACTACATCAAAAGTTCTACAAAATAAGAGTTGATAAGACTATATTATTTTATCAAATAACTAACGAAAATAGTTAAAGAAAGTGATTTAAAAATATTTACTGGAAAATAGTTTTATGACCGAGGGATCATTAAAAAAAAAAAAGAACCGGCTCAGATCCAAAACAGTCGTCACCGCGTATATAGATAGCATAAAGATTAGGGTTTTAGTATCGTTGTCGTCGCCGAGTGTTCTGCTATTGCGATTTTGTCCCTTTTCTATTGAGAAACTAGAACCATGACCGCCCAATCCCAAGAAGAGCTTCTTGCTCAGCATCTCGAGCAACAGAAAATCGAGGTCAGAGCTCACTCCTTTACTGCACCACTCGTATTTTCATTTTACTGTATTTCTATGCATATCTTCGGATTTTTTATTTAACTTTTACGCTTTGAGTAAAATGATTGAATCTAGACGTTTCCACTCCTTACTTTAGAGCAATCTGTGAACTGAGTATCATTTTAGATGTCTTTCAGTTTGTGAATGTGACGTTCATTTATCAGTCACTCCATCCTTGACTCCTAATCCGGGAAGGTGGATATTATAAATAATTAGATCTAATATTAATATAGGATATGCTTTACATTAGCTTCACTATTTGGAAATGTTATCTAAAACACTATTGCTCCTCACAAATGCTATTCCCAAACAAAGCCACAATCCCTCCATCTGGAATTAGTTGTTCACTTAAAAAAACACTTTTAAGAAATGAGTTTAAAATGTCAAATTAGACCTTTAAATAAATCTGTCACTCATATGTCAACAATGCCCACATCATATTTTTATGATGTGTTAGATGATTCTTCATAATTTCTTTATTGAATATGGAATGTTGATAACTAATTCCGGACAAATGAAAACAAGGATGTGGACAACTAAGTTCGAATGGTGGGATTAATATTTTACCAATTGCTTGGAAAATGATCTTTTATTGTTAAGATATAATATGAGTGATATTAGCTCTTTTTTGGAAGTTGACATGACTAGAGGTTGACGGCGAATGGTTTACTTTGAGCGGCACTTTAATGATCTTGTAGTGTTTTGAATATGCTTTTTCGTAACAATCTTAGTTGGGGAGAGGAGGAGGACCAGAGGAGAATGAAAGAGCTAATGGTTTTTTTTTGTGTGGATAATAATAATAGTATTGAGAAGGCATGCAAATCTATGCATTTGATATCAGAAATCCCTAGTATCATTTTATTTTAATTACTCTTTCCTCTTGCCTTAATCTGTGATATTATTTGATACCTGAAAATTCTAGTTTCAATTTAGTTCATTTCAAATTTAACCTTTCGTAATTACTCATTTAGTATAGAAAATGATCCATATATTATGATTCACATTGTGCTATTGAATTTATATAGTGTTGCACAGCAACCCTTTAATATCCTGTTGGTATTGTATGGTCTGCTTTTTGAGAACTCACTGCTGATATCTTTTCTCATTAGTAATACTATGGAAAATAATGCATTATGATCTTTCTTTGCTTTGTGGTGGCAATTAAGGGATGAAAAATGTATGCACCTAGAGTGTAGAGACAGCAGTAATCCAATGTGCCATAGGTCTTAGATGTAATTGTACAAGATTACGTACTCAATATTGACTCTTTGTTATTCAGTCTGAGGAGCCAGTCATTGAGGATGACGATGATGAAGATGATGATGATGAGGATGATGAAAAAGATGAAGATGATGGTATGATCATGATTTGGCTTCATTCTAATTCCTGGGTTTTTGTCTTCACATTAATTACAGATTCACTTGTTCTCTGTATATTGCAAAGTAATTTTCTTGCTTGAAATGCCAAAAGTTTGGGAGCCCAGGTGTAGTATGACTTAGTAGTTGTTGCTAACTATGAAGTGAGAATTTCACCTTTCTTCAAGAAGATAAGTAGATAACAAGCTGCAAAATTTCTTAATGTGCAGCTTAGGCATCTAAGTAGAGCATTTTGTTTTTATTCCTTTGTAGATTATTTAATAAGACAGTGCCAGATATATGAATATTATTTGTCTTTTATTCTCATCAGAACATGGAGATGCTACTGGTAGGTCAAAGCAGAGTAGGAGTGAGAAGAAGAGTCGCAAGGCTATGATAAAGCTAGGAATGAAGCCTATTGCCGGAGTCAGCCGCGTCACCGTCAAGAAGAGCAAGAATGTATGTTAGTTATACTTAAGTTCAATTGGCATATTCTCGTTGTGGTTAATTCCTTCCTACACCTAATGTCAAATTTGTCAGATTCTATTTGTCATCTCAAAGCCTGATGTTTTCAAGAGCCCCACTTCAGACACTTATGTTATTTTTGGCGAGGCCAAGATTGAGGATTTGAGCTCACAGTTGCAGAGTCAAGCTGCTGAGCAGTTCAAGGCTCCAAACCTCAGCAACACGGTATCAAAGCCTGAGTCATCAACTACAGTTCAGGATGATGAGGATGTAGATGAGACCGGTGTAGAGCCCAAGGATGTTGAGCTGGTTATGACCCAAGCCGGGGTTTCAAGGGCTAAGGCCGTCAAAGCTCTCAAGGCTGCAGAGGGTGACATTGTTTCTGCCATCATGGAGCTTACAAACTAGGAAGAGAAAAAAAAATCCCCCTTTATCTTATTTTCGGAATATTTGAGTGAATGAGAGATTTACCATTACATTTGCTTTGGATCCTTGAATTTTAAAACTTCTAAATTTCTGTTCTTGTGATGTATCGGTTATGGTTCTTGTCTTTAAAAGTCAATGTGTTGTGTGATGGAGAGATAGCCAAGGAGTAATTCGTACTCCCTTCCTCCTAAAACGTTCATCCCACTTCCTCTTTTTCTCCGTCCTAAAATTATCTTCCCATTAGAAAAAAAAGATGACAAATGACATTAATACCATCATGTATTTATACCAATTATATTTTAAGGGCCTGTTCTTTAGGACTGTAAAAAAAGAGCTGGATGTTAGAAGGAACTGGAAAAAACTAGAAGGAATTAGAAGAAACTGGAAGGAACTGGAAAGAACTGGAAGGAACTGGAAAAAACTGGAAGAAACTGGAAAAACTTCGAAAAATTGAAAAACCTAAAAAAACTTTAAAAATATTTATTTTAAATTCTTGTTGTTATAAATTATTATTATTATTATTATTATTATTATTATTATTATTATTATTATTATCATCATCATAATCATCATCATCATCATCATCATATCTTAGTCAATATCTTTAAATTAGAAAAAAAGTATTACTCCCTCCGTTTTTTAAAACACTTCCTCTTTCATTTTTTTCACTTCCAACAAAACACTTCCACTTTCTATTAAAAAACCACTTTTACCCTTACTTTTTCATACCCTACCTATCACATCATACTTTATCTCTAATAATCTATCTATCACATCCTACTTTTACCTATCACATCAAGGGCAAAATTGGAAGTCAACTACAATTTAATACTTCCTTATTTTTACACAAAGTCAAAATAGGAATACTTTTTCTAAACGGAGGGAGTAGTATTTTTTAAATACATAAAACTATTTTTGCAAAAAATAATTATAATATAAAGTTAGCATAAATATAAAAATATTAAATTTTAAGAAGTCTTTGTACTTATATTGCATCTCAATTTATTTATGCAGTATTTATTATAAATAATATATTTGTAATTATAATTTATATATTAAAACATTTTGTTTTAAATATCATACATGTCACATAATCAAACCTATTGTTTCTTTCATGATTGACATTTTATTTTCATTGAATTCCTATTTTTGGAATAAAGACATTTAACTTTTTTGTTTACATTTTTATGTTTTATTTATATTTTAGTCTTTTTCTCTAAGCTCTTTTAACTTACAATTTATTTTTATAAAAATTAGAAAAATGAGCAATTTTTAAGTAAAAAGACTTAAATTTTTAATAATAATAATAATAATAGTAATAATAATAATAATAATAATAATAATAATAATAATAATAATAATAATAATAATAATAATAATAATAATAATAATAATAATAATAATAATAATAATAATAATAATAATAATAATAATATACTTGGTCCGTCCCTGAGTGTTTGTCCACTTTTGACTTTTGGAACTATTCATCTAAACACTTTGAGTTATCAAATTCTCTCAATGTCTAAGCCTAAAAATAGTCATGTGTGATCTTGTTTGATTCGTCTTAACATATACTCCCTCCGTCCCAAAAAGAATGTTACGTTTCATTTTTTGCGCATCCCTTAAAACACTTTTATATCGTCTCAAATGCCAAAAAAACTTTCAAAACAATTTCATCTTATAATAAAGAGTAAATATGGTAAATTTTAGAATTTTTAGATGTGAGTAGCAGTGCTTTTTGTGCTGCGCAAAAAAATGAAATGTAACATTCTTTTTGGGACGGAGGGAGTAGATTATTAAGTAATATATAATTTTTATAATTTTTTAATTTACAAATTACAAGATAAATTGAATTTAAAAAGTGCATTATATTGTGTGCAAAAATGAAAGTGGACAAACACTCAGGGACGGAGGGAGTATTTAGTTTTGCCACGAGTTCTAGAGGTGCCATTAGGTTTTTTGGCCAAATTTCAAATTCATTAAAAAAGTTGCCGAATTTGACATGAATGTTTCTATTTTCATGTAAAATCCTTTGTAAACTTTCATGCCGAAAAGACTTTTCAATAATGTCTAAATTATTATTTGTTTAGTTTTGCCCTCGAGCTCTAAGGGGTACCATCACAATATTTGGATAAATTTTAATTCCATAAAAAAAGTTTTAAAATTTGACATGAATGTTTCTATTTACATATACAATCCTTTGTAAAATTTTAATGCCAAATAAACATGTCATTAATGTCTTAATTATTATTTTTTTAGTTTTGGCCTCGAGCTATAGGGGTATCATCACGTTTTTTTGGCTAAATTTTAAATTTATGAAAAAAGTTGCCGAATTTGACATGGATGTTTCTATTTGAATGTAAAATCCTTTGTAAAAGTTTTATGTCAAAAAGTCTTGTCAATAATATCTAAATTATTATTTTTTTAGTTTTGGTCTCGAGCTCTAAAGGTACCATCACGTTTTTTGGCCAAATTTTAAGTTCATAAAAAAAAAATTATGAATTTGATATGGACGTTTCTATTTGCATGTAAAATCCTTTGTAAAAGTCTTAATGTCGAAAAGACTTGTCAATAATTTCTTAATTTATATTTTTTTAGTTTTATCCTCGAGCTCTAGAGAGTGCCATCACAATATTTGGCTAAATTTTAAATCCATAAAAAATTGCAAAATTTTACATGGATGTTTATATTTACATGTACAATCCTTTGCAAAACTTTCGTGACAAATAGACATGTCAATGATGTCTTAATTATTATTATTTTATTTTTGGCCACGAGTTCTAGAGTTACCATTAGGTTTTTTGGCCAAATTTCAAATTCATTAAAAAAGTTGCCTAATTTGACATGAATGTTTCTATCTTCATGTAAAATCTTTTTTAAAACTTTCATGTCGAAAAGACTTTTCAATAATGTCTAAATTATTATTTGTTTAGTTTTGCCCTCGAGCTCTAAGGGGTACCATCACAATATTTGGATAAATTTTAATTCCATCAAAAAAGTTACAAAATTTGACATGGATGTTTCTATTTACATTTACAATCCTTTTTAAAATTTTCATGCAAAATAGACAAGTCAATAATGTCTTAATTATTATTTTTTTAGCTTTGGCTTCGAGTCTTAGGGGTACCATCACGTTTTTTGGCAAAATTTAAAGTTCATCTAAAATGTTGCCAAATTCGACATGGATGTCTCTATTTGCATGTAAAATCATTTGTAAAAGTTTCATGTCAAAAAGAATTGTCAATAATATCTAAATTATTATTATTTTTAGTTTTGCCCTCGAGCTCCAAGAGGTACCATCATAATATTTGTCTAGATTTAAATTCCATAAAAAAAGTTGCAAAATTTGACATGAAAATTTTATTTAAATAGAAAGTTGTATATGTAAATTGCAAATTTTATTTAAATAGACATCATTGAAAACTTTACAAAGGATTGTATATGTAAGTAGAAACATTCATGTCAAATTTTGCAACTTGTTTTTATGGAATCAAAATTTAGCCAAATATTGTGATGGTACCCCTTGGAGCTCGAGGGCAAAACTAAAAAAATAATAATTTAGATATTATTGACAAGACTTTTTGACATTAAACTTTTACAAAGGATTTTACGTTCAAATAGAAACATCTATGTCAAATTCAGCAACTTTTTTAATGAATTTAAAATTTAGCCAAAAGAACGTGATGGTACCCCTAGGGCTTGAGGCCAAAACTAAAAAAATAATAATTAAGACATTATTGACATGTCTATTTGGCATGAAAATTTTACAAAGGATGGTATATGTAAATAGAAACATTCATGTCAAATTTGCAACTTTTTTTGATGGAATCAAAATTTAGCCAAATATTGTATTGGTACCCCTTGGAGCTCGAGGGCAAAACTAAAAAAATAATAATTTAAATATAATTGACAAGACTTTTTGACATGAAATTTTTACAAATGATTTTACGTTCAAATAAAAACATCTATGTGAAATTCGGGAACTTTTTTGATGAAATTTAAAATTTGGCCATAAAAACGTGATGGTACCCCTAGGGCTTGAGGCCAAAACTAAGAAAATAATAATTAAGACATTATTGACATGTCTATTTGGCATTAAAATTTTACAAAGGATGGTATATGTAAATAGAAAAATTCATGTCAAATTTTGCAACTTTTTTGATGGAATTAAAATTTAGCCAAATATTGTGATGGTAACCCTTGGAGCTCGAGGGCAAAACTAAAAAAATAATAATTTAGATATTATTGACAAGACTTTTTGACATGAAGCTTTTACAAAGGATTTTACGTTTAAATTGAAACATCCATGTCAAATTCGGCAACTTTTTTGATGAATTTAAAATTTGGCCAGAAAAACGTGATGGTACCCCTAGGGCACGAGGCCAAAACTAAAAAAATAATAATTAAGACATTATTGACATTTCTATTTGGCATGAAAATTTTACAAAGGATTGTGAATGTAAATAGAAACATTCATGTCAAATTTTGCAACTTTTTTTGATGGAATTAAAATTTAGCCAAATATTGTGATGGTACCCCTTGGAGCTCGAGGACAAAACTAAAAAAATAATAATTTAGATATTATTGACAAGACTTTTTGATATGAAGCTTTTACAAAGGATTTTACGTTCAAATAGAAACATCCATGTCAAATTCGACAACTTTTTGATTAATTTAAAATTTGGCCAAAAAAACGTGATCGTACACTAGGGCTCGATGCCAAAACTAAAAAAATAATACCTAAGACATTATTGACATGTCTATTTGGCATGAAAATTTTACAAAGGATTGTATATGTAAATAGAAACATTCATGTCAAATTTACAACTTTTTTGATGGAAACAAAATTTAGCCAAATATTGTGATGGTACCCCTTTGAGCTCGAGGGCAAAACTAAAAAAATAATAGTTTAGATATTATTGACAAGACTTTTTGACATGAAGCTTTAACAAAGGATTTTATGTTCAAATAGAAACATCCATGTCAAATTCGGCAACTTTTTTGATGAATTTAAAATTTGGCCAAAAAAAACGTGATGGTACCCCTAGGGCTCGAGGCCAAAATTAAAAAAATAATAATTAATACATTATTGACATGTCTATTTGGCATGAAAATTTTACAAAGGATTGTATATGTAAATAGAAACATTCATGTCAAATTTGCAACTTTTTTTGATGAAAACAAAATTTAGCCAAATATTGTGATGGTACCCCTAGAGCTCGTGGGAAAAACTAAAAAAATAATAATTTAGATATTATTGACAA